GCGCAAAACTGAGGCCCTCCTGATTGGCTCACGTCAGCGCCTCCGCACCTCAGGTGCTGACAGCATCAGCATCCAAGGCTGCACTCTCCACCTCTCAAAGCCGGTCAGGAACCTCGGCGTTCTGCTCGACCCTGAGCTGTCCTTTCTCCCTCATATCCGCGCCACAACTGGCACCGCCTTCCATCACCTCTGAAACATCGCCAGACTACGGCACTACCTCACCCCTCACGCTGCTGAAACTCTGGTCCACGTCTTTATCACCTCAAGGCTGGACTATGGGAACTCTCTCCTCGCCGGCCTTCCCGGCACTTCCCTCCACAAGCTGCAGGTCGTTCAGAACTCTGCAGCTCGTGTACTGTCCCGCACCAGACACCGCGACCACATCACTCCCACCCTCGCTCGCCTCCACTGGCTCCCCATCCCCCAGAGGATCGAATTCAAGATCCTCATCCTCGCCTACAAGGCCATTCACGGCCTCGCTCCCTCCTACCTCTCCAACCTACTACCCCCCTACCTACCTGTCCGTACCCTCCATTCCTCTGGCTCCGGTCTGCTCCACATCCCCCGCCCCAACCGCCCTACCATCGGTGGCCGGGCCTTCAGCCTCTGAGCCCCGAGGCTCTGGAACTCTATCCCCCAGTGCCTTCGCCGCCTCCTCCCTTTCCTCCTTCAAGGCTGGTCTCAAGACCTTTCTCTTTGACCGTGCCTTCAGCTCCCCTCTCGACTCTCTACCCCCTCCTCGCTCCCTCCCTTCCCTCCCCTCACCCTGACCATTTACCCCCTCCTCGCTCCCTCCCTTCCCTCCCCTAACCCTGACCATTTACCCCCTCCTCGCTCCCTCCCTTCCCTCCCCTCACCCTGACCATTTCCCCCCTGCTCGGGTCCTGACCAAACTGTCCAGCGCTTTGGGACGTCCTCCCAACGTGAAAGGCGCTCTATAAATGGAATCTTGTTGTTGTTGTTGTTGTTTCCAAAAAAAAAGGTTTTGTAGCGTTGAAGTATGCAGCACACTGGACCTATAAGTGTCATGGATGGTATCAGTTTTCATTTTTTTATTGGAAAGTCAAATCTGTTTCAGATACAAATTGGCTCTAGATTAGAATCCAGCGGTTGTGCTGTGTGTGTATTTAAAATAGATTTGCATGGTGATGAGTAATGAGTGTTACATATCCATTATTTTGATGACCTTTAGACTGTAAATATTATTTGGCTTAGAAGCCAATCCTCAGAAGTCACACTTGCCACAAAAGCAGTGCCTCACAAAAGATGTGGTTCCAAACAATGGGAGATTTCTTTTCCTGGTCTCTGAAGTATCTTTCAGTGAATCAGATACTCCCTGAACAGGGGTTGAATAATTCCACATTATACATGGAAATGTGCACAAAGCATGTGTGTGCATGCAATGAATTCTAACAAACACACTGCACTTAACACATTGTAACATGATTCCATGTGTGTGTGCGTGTGTCTTGGCTAACAATCTCCCAGATAAAATTGGTGATTCAAGTGGCTGTTTGTGGGACATAGCTGTGTGCAAATTGGCTGCTGTGTGCGCCGTAGTCCTGCACTCTTTCCTTTGAAGCACTTTGAGCAATTCTCCCGACGTGAAAACTGCTATATCAAATGCAAGGATTATTTATTATTTAACGTAGATACAGGCTGTATGTACATTTAATACATTCCTCATGGGCAATTGCAAAGGAGAAACTCACTGAATGTAGTTCATTTATGGATAGGGTTATGCTGGACTGTGCAACTGCTTCAAATAAAATAGAAGCACAGACGGATAATACACACGTGTTCTTAATAAGTTGCACGTGTGTTTCTGTAGTCTTGGGATTTTCTAATGTTTGAAAGTTGGTGACTGTGTTCAGACTGCGTTATACTGTACATACATTCTACTCTCACTGTAAGCCTCGGGTTTAATAGGCTGTTAGACTTTACATTCCAATATAAATGTGTTAAGGGCGAAACCTTAGGCTAGTTCCCTTACTCCACACATCTCTGTTTATCTAGCAGTAAGTAGGAACCCAGTTGTTAGTCGATTGGCGGATCACTAATAATCCCCACCCCCACCCCACGCCGGAAAAAACAAAACAGTTTGATCATTCAATCCATAAGTGTTTGTGGGACACTGCTGTGCGCAATAGGCTGCCGCGTTTCTGCCACAAAATACAGTCACTTTACAATATATTCTGTGAAGTTCTTTGAGAAATCTCAACGACGTGATAAGGCACTATATCACATGGAAGGATTATTATTATTATGATGTATGGATGGCTTGAATACTCTTCTCGAATATAGGAAACATTTGTTTGTTTTAAGTCTGTTGGATTCCTCTCAAGGTTTAATGGCAATCTCAAAATGTCTATCAGAACTTCACAAATCTCCAGGAAAAGGAGAACATAAATCCAAGTACATAAAGAGTAATTGTAATCGGGATGTTTCTAATAAAAAAAGATTTTGTGGCATTGAATTATACCAGAACTACAAGTGTCTTGGTATCAGTATTTAATGTTTTCATTTTTTTCAATGGAAAGTTAAATCTGTTTAAGATCCAAATTGGCTCTAGATTAGAATCCAGCGGTTTTGCTGTGTGTGTATTTAAAATAGATTTGCACAGTGATGAGTAATGAGTGCACATATCCATTATCTTGATGGCCAGTAAATATTATTGTTGGCTGCTGTAATTGGGGAAGTCAAGATCATGGCAATCAACTAGAGACATTTTGGGAAAAAATATCTTTCCTCTCACTTCTCTAATATTGATCGTAGCTAAACAAAGCCCCCAAATGAATTTAGTACGTCAGTGTGGGAGTGCAGTCTGTCTGGATCAGGGAAGATTTATGTTGCACATCATGAATCCACAGCTGCCTCCACATGATTTGAAGGTATTGTGGATATGCCTTGCAGGAGGGGAAACCCAGTCCTGTAGACTGCTCGGTATGTTATTTGTACTCATGCATTGTTGTCTGCCCCTTACTCTTACATTGCACCCAATCTACCCAATGTTCCTTTGAGGTACTGAAGCATCATGAAATGCTGCCTCAAGACTCTCCTCTTCGACCACTTCTTCGGTCACCCTCCTACCCATACCCTCCCTACCCTCCACCCCTCCTGATGCCAACCCCCTGCTCAGGTCTAAATCCCTGATTGTCTTGTCCCTTGGGACACCCTCCCGATGTGAAAGGCCCTATACAAATGTAATTTGTTTGAAGTGTTGGTCTGGCCTTCAGAGTGATGGCAGGATGGCATCCCGGATTTTTACAAATGAGACTAAATGGGTAGTTCTTCCAAAGAGCCGGCACAGGCATGATGGGCCAAATGGCCTCTGTCTGCGCTGTAATGTTCTATGATTCTATGATTCCAAATACAACTCTCTATTTTACAAGGAATCGATCATTCTTTTTTAGGATTCTATCAAAAGAGGGCGTGAGAGCGAAGAGATAATTAAAAGTTGTTGCCTTATAAAGGTTGACACAGTATTAGGGGTACGTTTATAGATTGACAGCAATACCGGGTCTTTGCCTTATGTAGTGTTTTATGAGAGTTGTCATTCCAAGCCCTGTTGGTGTGTCTCCCCACCTCCTTGTGGAATTCTAATCACAGCAGCTTGCGTGTACTTGGAGGGTGGGTGAGGGTATTCTCAAAGGGACTGCAAATAATGGATCCGGCCAGTATGGAATCGACCCTGCTTACCCCCACTCCACTACCCATTGCCTTCGCTCAGCTGGCTCCGGCCTCCTATTTGTCCCTTGTGCCTTCAGCCAATACACCCCCAAACTCTGGAACTCTCTCCCTCAATCCCTTTGCCTTGCCCCCTCCTTCCCCACTTTCAAATCCCACCTGAAGACCTTTCTTTTTGCTCATACTTACGGTCACCTCCCTCCTCACTCTCCCCTTGGCTCGTTGTCAGACCCGCCACTGAAACATTCCGGGATGCCATCCTGCGTGAAGGGCGCTGCGTAAATGCAGTTGTTGTTGTTGACCCTCTGAAACTCCACTCCGATGCCAACTTCACAGAAGTTGAAACCCAAATTGCCTTCCAAATGTGGTCCAGAAAGTCGTTCGTATCACATCTGGAGTTCCCGATTCCTAAATACTTTTGCCAGTCTCAAAAAATCAAGTCTCCCTCCTCTCGGGTACCTCCTGTGTTCAAGGGATTCATCAAGTTTATGCTCCTTATTTATTCAATTAACTCCAGGTTTCCTGTTGAGGGTTTCAGCTAATCAAATATATTTGTTTTTTATAAAAGGGTCAAAGAGCTCAAAAGGCATGACCTGTGCATCCATCAGCTGCAGAATGGTCTGATAGATAGGAAGAGAAATCTAGAGGGGTACACAAAGTTCCATCTCTCTGTTTGCTCAGCCCTCTTTGGTTAGGGCAGGCCTGTTTCACAAACTCTGACCATGCCATTCATCAATGTAGATGTAAACAACAACACTACATTTGTATAGCGCCTTTCACATTGGGAGTATGTCCCAAGACGCTGGACAATCGTTGTTTCGGACCCAAGCTGGGGGTCGGGATATAGGAAGATGGAGGGCCGGGGGGGGAAGGAGGGTGACCGAAGGCACGCTCGAAGAGGAGGGTCTTGAGATGGGTCTTGAAGGAGGGAAGGGAGGGACCGAGGCGGAGGAACTGCAGTATGGAGTTCCATTGGGTGGGGGCAGAGTGGCTGAAGGCCTGCCCGCCAAGGGTGGGGTGGGTGAGGTGGGGGAAGTGAAGCAGGCCGGAGCCCGCTGAGCCGAGGGAGCGGGCAGGCTGGTAAGGGGTTAGGAGGTTGCAGAGGTTGGGGGGAGTAAGGCCATGGAGGTCTTTGAATGTGAGGACCAGTATCTTGAACTATATCCTCTGTGTGATGAGAAGCCAGTAGGGTCGGGTGAAGATGGGTGTCATAGGGTCGCGGAATTCTTTTAAAATTTGTGGGTTTGGTAATGGCAGCTGGGTCTTACCTATATTCTCCAATGAACGTAAGTTCTCTTTTACCTGTCTTGCAGGGAGGTGTGCATTCGGCAGGATGGCAGAGTTCACCTCACGGTTGTTTACTTTGGGAAGGAGCAGATGAATGAAGTGAAAAGTGTCCTGGAAAATATTTCAAGGTGAGTGTTCCCCTGCTGGTACATTGAGGACAGACAGACAATAACGTTTGGCTCAGACAATCCCCAGAATAGGGATGTATGTGTGTTACACCACCACCATCTTGTGCTCCTATAGCCGCCCTCGCCCAGGGTAGCTTCTAAGAGCACTTGGCATGATGCTGAGGAGTGGGGGGGTAACTTTAGGCATGGTCAAAGAGGAAGCTCTTCAGGCACGACCTGAATATGGGGAAAGAGAGGGCACGACAGAGGGATAAGGGAAGAGTCTTCCAGAGTGGCTGAAAGCGCGACCACCAATGGTGGAACGCAGGGCACGTATATCTTATTGAATACTTTACAGTCTTGAAAGTTACTCTGTGATATTCAGGTTTGGTGAATTTTAAGAGATCTCTAATATTCTGATGTGATTTTACTGGCATTTCTTAATTAGTACTTAATTAACACCCACAATTATCATTAGGTGGTAATACCCAATATTTTTGAAGCGAGCATTTATTATTCAGCGCCTTGACGTGAAAGGCGCTATATAAATGTAATGTTATTGTTGTTATTTAATGTTATTTAATTTCTAGCAATTGAGACAACTGCTAATCTTTTTGTTAACAGTTAATTTTCTGGAATATGTGGACTCCTGTAGCTTAGTGATTAGAGCACTTGCCTCACAAGCAAGAGGATCCAGGTTCGATTCCTGGGCAGGGCGAAACGTTGGGCAAGTTTCCTTATTTCACACTCCTCTGTTTAGTAGCAGTAAGTAGGAACCCAGTTATAAGACGATTGGCTGGATTGCTTTTCCGGGGTTAAATCCCTTAATAAAATAATAATAATAATTTAGTTATTCAATCCATGCCTGTTTGTGCGACACTGCTGTGCGCAATTAGCTGTCGTGTTTTGCCCACAAAACTTAAAGTCAATTCATAGTATATTCTGTGAAGCGCTTTGAGACATCTCAAAGACATGATAAAGCACTACATCAAATGCAAGGATTATTTTTATTATTATTATTATTATTACTGTATCAGGGGCAAGAGACCACACTGAGCTCTCTAAGTCGCAGCAGGTCAGTAATTACCACTGGACTCAAGAATTCACCCTTGGAGCTGCACCGTGTTCCAGGGTTGACTGACGTAGAGCAACGTTTAACTCAATTAAGAGCTAATGAAGCCTCAAGCAACGGTGGAATGTCAGGTTGTAAATGAGCCGGGTTCCCAGGGATCATTATGGTGAAAGGCGGCACTCTGACAGGATTGCCCGATAGCTGTTAGATTAACTGGGGTAGCAGCACCCGACTGGGGTAACAGCAATCAGCAAACTGGAGGGCGTGAATGTCAGCAGGAATACACTGACTTTGATCCCCGTGCTGCTGATGTGCAGCTCAGATGAGGGTTTGGAACCTGGGCCTGGACTGGTGGGCAGGGAGAGTGTTGTTGGGCAACCACCTGTTCTATGTGAATGATATCAGTCCCTGTGCGGCACCAGGCTCCGGAGACACAGAGGATGCACGGACACAGACAGACAGACAGACAGACAGACAGACAGACAGACAGGCAGGCAGGCAGGCAGGCAGGCAGACGGACGGACGGGTGGCTGACTGGTCTGTTTCCTCATCCAGATGTTTCCGGTGTCAATTACAGTGCCCACGTCAGATACAGGGAAGTGCTTCCACCTCCTCCCACCCATGACCAACAGGAACTGAGCGAGACTCAGGAACTCCAGCCCCTGCATCATCCAACCTGAGTCATAGCCAGAGCTTTTCCTTTAACATTGGCATTTACCACCACAAAGTGTGTGTGTGTGTTTAAAAAGAAAACAGCTGTGAATTCTCATTGAAATACTGCAACGACTGGGTTCAGGCAGAACGGTATAACTCGCTTGTTTGATCTGTGCAGGCAGTAACTATGTTACACTAAGCCATTCTTTTAATGAAAGGAAGAAAACAGTTAAGGGGGAAGGAGGAAGGGCTTGTTTGTAGGAAGAAGATGTTACTGCTCTTTACCTTCGAGGGGTCCACTCTTCGATTGCAAACGGCACTCACCTTGTGCACCACTCGACTATTACTACTACAGTAACAACTTGTATTTACACAGCGCCCCTCATGCAGGGTAGCGTCCCAGAGAGCACAACACCGACCTGGGGAGAGGGGGAGGTGGCCATAGGCACGGTCGAAGAGGTAGGTGGGGAAGGAGAAACACTATTGCAAAGTGTATAATAATAATAATCCTTGATTTGATATAGCACCTTATCACGTCTTCAAGACGTCCCAAAACGCTTCACGGAATATACTGTAAAGTGAATTGACTGTATATTTTGTGGCCCAATTGGTAGGAATCTTGACCTCTGGGTACTTTGAGCTGACAGTTGAGGCTGGTGCTACGGGAGAGCTGCACTGTTGGCGGTTCTGACACTCGGATGAGACTTTGAACCAAGATCCCAGTCTGCTTCTCGTTCAAGGGCACTATATCAAAGCAAGTTGTTGCTATTGAGCACAAAACCTCAGCTATGCTCATCAAGCGGGTGTTAATATGTGGCAGTGGGCGCTCTCTGCTGTTCCTGGCATAGAACTGCATTGTTAAGGGCAGAATAAGAGTCAACCGATAAAAATAATAATAATCCTTGCATTTGATACAGCACCTTATCACATCTTCAAAAAGTCTTAAAGCGCTTCGCAGAATATACTGTAAAGTGTAGTGACTGTGTATTTTAATGTTGACGTGTAAAAAAAACTGATCTGTTTTTATCTTCCCTCTTTCCTCCTCCCCTTCCACCACACCCCTCCCACCCCACCCTTCCTTTCCATTTAAAACAGAGAAGTGAACTACAAAAACTACACCTTTATCCTGCTGGAGGAAGATTTCTCCCGGGGCAAAGGCCTTGACGTGGGTGCTCGAGCATGGAAAGGCAACAATGTGCTGCTATTTTTCTGCGATGTGGACATATACTTCACAGCAGAGTTCCTCAACACGTGCAGGCTGAACGCCCATCCAGGTATTTGCGCTATGTGGGCGCGTTTTTTTAAAAAAAGGAAAACACTATAAATTTCTCTGGGGCACTGCGTTTTTTAAAAAACAAATACAATTCTTTATCAGTATAAAAAATATCTTCCTCTTGCCTCATGAAAACCACAATCATGACAGAAAAAAACCCAACCGTTTCCAAACCATTACAATCCACAACGGACTTGTCCCCTTGTGTTAGGGCCCCATTTCCTCGTACTCCCCTTGAGTGGAGGTAAAGGCATTCCAGGTGTAATACTAACCATTACAGTGTTTACAGGTTCAAATGCCGCTCTGTGCTTGATTACTCAATCTTACCGTGGATAGCTAATGGGGTGTGACCACTTGTCTCAGCTTTCTTGTGTTGGAGGGAGGGGGGAATTCCTAGCTGTCGAAAAGGAGGGTCTTGAGTCGTGCCTTGAAGGAGACAAGGGAGGGAACAAGGTGAAGGGAATGTGCAATGGAGTTCCAAAGGGTGAGGGCAGAGAGATTGAAGGCCTGATCGCTGATGGTGGGGTGGGTAGGGCAGGGGACGTGGAGCAGGCCGGAGTCTGCAGAACGAAGGGAATGGATAGGTTGATAGGGGGTTAGCAGGTCAGAGAGGTAGAAGGGGGCAAAGCCGTTGAGTGCCTTGAAAGTGAGGATGAGGATTTTGAATTCTATCCTCTGAGGGATGGGGAGCCAGTGGAGCTGGGCAAGGGTGGGAGTGATGGGGTCACGAGCCTGGTGCAGGAGAGGACCGAGCTGCAGAGTTCTGGGTGGTCTGCAGCTTGTGGAGGGAAGAGTTGGGGAGGTCGACAAGGAGGGAGTTTCTGTAGTCAAACCTTGAGGTGACGAATGTGTGTATGAGGGTTTCGGCAGCCTGAGGAGTGAAGCAGTGGCCGAGTCGGGCAATGTCGTGGAGGTGGGGTAAGACAGAGTGGGTCATGGCACCGGTGTAGGGGAGAAAGGACAGTTGAGGATCGAACAAGATGCCCAGGTTCCTGACTGGCTTGGTGAGGTGGAGTGTGCGACTGTGGATGCTGATGCTGCCAGTGCCTGGGGTGCTGAGGCGCTTGCTCGAGCCAATCAGTAGGGCCTCAGTCTTGCTGACATTCAGCTATAGAAAGTTGGCTCTCATCCAGGACTTGATGTCTGACAGACAGTCTGTCAGGATGTCAGTTGTCCTGGAATCGAGGTTGGAGGCAGAAAGATAGAGTTGGATGTCATCCGCATCTGTGTGGAAGTTGACCCTGTGTCTGCGGATGATGTCACCAAGAGGGAGCATGTACAGGTTGAAGAGGAGGAGTCAGAGGACAGAGCCCTGAGGAACACCACACAAAACTGTGTGGGGGCTTGAAGAGAAATCATTGGTGGAGACACATTGGAGCCGGTGTGAGAGATAAGACCTGAACCATTCAAGGACAGAATCTTGAAGGTTGAGGTAAGAGTAGAGGTGGTGGAGGAGGATAGAGTGGTCTACAGTGTCAAAGGCAGCAGAGAGGTCGAGGAGACAGAGGGAGCCCTGGTCACTGATGGCCAAATGTTGTTTGTCACCTTGACCAGAGTAGTTTCCGTGTTGAGAGCAGCACGGAAAACTGATTGGAGGGGCTTGTGAAGGGAGTGGTAGGAGAGGAAGGAGTGAAGCTGGGAAGCAATGACTCTTTCAAGGATCTTGGGAAGAAAAGGGAGGTTGGAGATGGGCCGGTAGTTAGAAAGAAAGGATGGGTCCAGGGAAGGTTTCTTTCAGGATTGAGGTAATTTTAGCTGTTATTAGGGGGATGGGAATGGTGCCAGATGGAGCACCTTATCATATTGTCGAGACGTCTCAAAGCGTTTCACAGGATATACTATAAAGTGTAGCGACTCTGTGTTTTGTGGGTGAAACGCAGCAGCCCATTGCGCATAGCAGTGTCCCACAAACAGTCATATTATTATACGACTTCGCAAGTCTGCTTGTAATTTATACTTCTTGTAAGTCATATTAAATGTTCTACAACTCATACTTGTTCTATAAATCATATAACATGTCCATCTGACACACACACATTTTAGATATATATTTCACCCACAAAACATACAGTCACTTTACAGTATATTCTTTGAGAGGACTCGAAGATGTGATAAGGCGATACATCAAATGCAAGGATTATTATCATATATATATAGTATAAACATATTTATAAATATGAACAGTGGTGAAGACAGGCTCAGACTTGGCTGCAGTGCACCCCCACTTCCCCACCGCCCTCTCTCAAATGTTTGTTTGTTGCAGGTGCTTGTCAGAAATCCAGACTTCATGTACAAAGCACCAGCTCCACTGCCACACTAACCGGCCTGTGGAATTCCAAACTGATGGTTGTCCTGCGAAAGTCCCTGCAAGCCACAGGACATGCTGTTCTGGAAAATGAAATAGAGCAATAAAGTTAATCGACTGCTTATTGGATCAGCTCTCAGTGCTGCTTTCCTTAGAAATGACAGTGGAAATTGGGAAGATTTTTTTTCCATTGAATTGCAAAATGGCATTGCCATTATTCACAATAAGTGTCTGCTTTCATTTACAGTGCTGAGCAATCGTGAGTCTGAGGCACTGAAGTTATCAACAAATGCTATTTGTGGCAGACTTTAGTCACATCCTGGTCTTATCTGTGCCTGTGTCAGGAAATTCCAAAGTTGGTTAATATCCTAAGACTAGTCAAAGTACACTAAACACCAAATAGAGGTGGACGGCTTTGAGTATGGATTTTATTTTAAAACTGAATTCAATCGAATCCACTAAAACAACAGAATGCCTAGGTACATATGAGCAGAGTGACTGGGTGCATTGCCCCTGATGCAGTGCCCTGTTGTTTCAAGAGCCTGTGTTCAAAGCCAGCTTCTGATGAGATAAAGTTCCGAGTGAGCACTGTCCCACCGCACAAATAATAATGATAATAATCCTTACATTTAATATAGCGCCTTATCACATCTCCTAGTCGTCTCGAAGTGCTTCACAGAACATACTGTAAAGTGAATTGACTGTATATTTTGTGGGCAAAACGTGGCAGCCAATTACGCACAGAAGTGTCCCACAAACAGTTGTGGATTGAAGTGACCAATTTATTATTGTTTATTTTGAAGGAATTATCACCCCCAGAAAACCGATCCACCAATCAACTAACAACCGGGTTCCTACTTACTGCTAGGTAAACAGAGGCGTGTGGAGTAAGGAAACTTGCCCAACGTTTTGCCCTGCCGGGAATCGAACACAGGTCTCTCGCTTGAGAGATGAGTGCTCAGACCACTGAGCTACAGAACTCTTTTCCTAATTCAGTACAGCTAGGGGCTTGGAGTAAAAACTGCTAGAAATACACAAAGGGCAACCAGCATCTGAACGAGAGAAATTGAGGCGTGGCTCGTGAAATAGGTTCAGAAAGAAGGGTTCGCCTGCCTTTCTCTTTCAGATACTGATCAACAGCCACCATGTGTGTCACAGGCATTTCCTATTCTATTTCAGATTTCCAGCATTTGTAGTTTTTCTCTTTTTTCTCTTGTGGAGCGATATGATTCTGATCTGAGGAAACTCTGAGCTAAACCCACCTGCTCCACATCCCCCTGCCCAGCCCGCCCCACCATCAGGGGTCGGACCTTCAGCCTCTCTGCCCCCTCCCTTTGGAACTCCATTGCACATTCTCTTCGCCTTGCTCCCTCCCTTGTCTCCTTCAATGCACGACTCAAGGCCCGTCTTTTGAACACGCCTTCAGCCACCCTCCTACCCTTACCCTCCCTACCCTCCAACCTCCTTGATCCCGATCTCCTGCTCGGATTTAATCCTTGACTCTCCAGTGCCTTGGGATATCCTCCTGATGTGAAAGGCGCTTTACACATATAATTTTGTATTGTATTGTATCACCTTATGGCACAGAGGAGACACAATTCAATAACTCTGGTGGGGGGGGGGGGAATTGATTCAATTCATAATTAAATAGAGGAACGGCTGTGGTTTCAGGTATGTGGTATGAGATGGACAGAGCCAAAGCTGGATGATGGATTGAGGGGGAGAGAGGTGGGTGGGTGAGAAGAGAGGCTTTTCTTGTTCCTATGTTCCTGGGTACTTGTCTTAGAAAAATCAAACCTGTTCAAAGAGGTATCTGGAAACTCAAAACACTGTTGAAAAGATCCCCCAGGAAATAAAATGAGAGTAGCCTAGACATTCTCATTCTGGGTTTGCAGTCTGGCTTCCCTGTTTTCTAGGATAGATAAACAATAATAATAATAATTCTTGCTTTTGATATAGGGCCTTATCACGTTTTCGGGACGTCCAAAGCGCTTCACAGAATATACTGCAAAGTGAATTGACTGTATATTTTGTTGGTGAAACGCGGCAGCCAATTGCACACAGCAGTGTCCCACTAACAGTCGTGGATTGAGTGACCAATTTTATTTTGGGGGTGGGGTGTGGGGGAATTTTTTCCAAGGAATTATTGCCCCCATACAAGCAATCCGCCAATCGACTAACAACCGGGTTCCTACTTACCACTCCACGAATGCTCAAGCTTTTAAACCCCTAAAGGATTTATGTATTATTGAGGGACAAAGATAATGACATGATAATATAACATAATAATGATTTGTATCATCTGTCCATACTACAAATCATCATGATCTTATGGTCGATGTTCTAGTCTTGGTCTACTTTTAAACTTTGAAGTTTAAAACTGGACAAACCAACATTTCACTTTCATTTATTTATTAAAAATTGGATTCCTCTTATTAATTTGGGTCCTTTTGGGCCTGTGTTGCTGATGTTTCACAATCGGTTTAAACTGAAATGTATTCTCATTTATTCCAGGGAAAAAGGTTTTCTATCCTGTTCTCTTCAGCCAATATAATCCGGCCATTATATATGGTCACCATGATTCGATTCCCTCTATCGAGCAGCAACTGGTAAGTTCTCATCATCATCCTGGATCAAATGACTATTTGGAGGGTAGGAACAATGATTTTTGAGGTGATTTGCATTGGCTTGAAATTGTAGTGACAGATTGGTTCGGGCCAATGGAAAATAACTGAAGATTATGATAGTAATAATCCTTGCATTTGATATGGCTCCTTATCATGGTCTCAAAGCAATTCATAGGATTTTCCCCATGAAGTGCAGTGACTATGTATTTGTAAGTGAACGAGGCAGCCAATTTGCGCCGATCAATTTTGTGAACGTCCACATATTTGGGGATTGATGGCCAAGACACTGGGATAAACTACCTTCTCTTTCCAAATAGTCCAATGGGTTCTTCAACATCCTCCTGAACAGGTAGACACGGCTTCATTTTAATATCTCATCCAGTGGCCAGTACCTCAAACGATGCATCAATTCCAGTATTGCATTGGAGTGTCAGCCTGGACTAAGTTCAAAATCCTGACATGGGGCTTGAACCGCAACCTTTTGAATATGAGAGTGCTGCATCATAGTGGAGTCCTGTAACTCAATGGCTAGAGCACTCACCTTGCAAGCGAGAGACCGGGGTCGATTCCCAGCAGGGCAAAATGTTGGGCAAGTTTTCTTATTCCATGCCTCTGTTTACCTTGCAGTAAGTAGGAACCCGTTGTTAGTCAATTGGCGAATCGCTTTTCTGGGGTTAATAATTCCTTAAACAAAATAAAAATTGGTCACTTTAATCCAGGACTGTTTGTGGGACGCTGCTGTATGCAATTGGCTGCTGCGTTTTGCCCACAGAATATCCAGTCAATTCACTTTACAGTATATTCTGTGAAGCGCTTTGAGACGTCTCGAAGACGTGTTAAGGCACTCTATCAAATGCAAGGATTATTATTATCATAGATCCAATTGGGCCAATCTCTGCTGTGTTCTTTTGCATCTAAAGCATGAATTCTGGGTTCCTGATGAAGCAAACTGGTCAGCAGAGCTAGGATCAGTAGCTCCAATGGTGAATAATTTTGTTAAAGAGCAGAATGGTGATGTCTAGTGACAGAAGCTACCTTCAACTTTGATTCCTTTTCACGTTCGAAGAGACTTTGTTTGATTGGTTACTTGCTCAAGGTGATGGTAAATTGCATTGAGTACAGAAGACAGCTGCAGTTTTTCCTGCAGTAAATCTGAACTGTTTCGTTTGTTACAGGTAATTAAAAAAGATTCAGGGTTCTGGAGGGATTTTGGCTTTGGAATGACTTGCCAATATCGATCCGATTTCGTCAATATAGGTAAGTGCAACTGGGCGCCACGTTTCTCGCACAAAATATACAGTCAAAGCACTTTACAGTCATTCTTGTTAAGTGCTTTGAAACATCTCAATAATGTGATAAGGCTTCCAGCAATGTTTTTACACCTGCGGTTCTGAACTCTTTAAGCTTCCCTGCCTATTCCTCATACTCACTGAACCTGGTCTCAACTTTGGCATCAGGTTCCATCCTCAGTTCTCCTTCCTGGCCCACAACCAGTCCCTGAACCAAAGCTTCTTTCTTCCACCTCCCCCCCATTACCTGCCATCAACCGATGGTGAAACTTTCATTCATGCTTTCATCACCCGCCTCAATTTTTCCAATACACTCCTTACCGGTCTCCTCAGCTCAGGGTTAACAATGCCCCAATGATACAAAACTCTGTTGCCCATGTCGTCACCAGTCCCAGGTTCCGCACTCCTCTCATCCCAGTTCTTGCCAGGCTTCATTGTCTCCCTGTTGCAGAATGGATTAATTTCAAAGATCTTCGCTCTCAATTTTGAATCTTCATGCCCTGGTACCTCACCACCTCTCCAATCTGCTCATACCCCCCACTTTGTTTTTTGTTGGTGTTGAAAATCCTATCTAGTTAGTGACTCATTCCTGAAGATTTGCTTGTGGGAACAACAACAACAACAAATTACCTTTTATAGCGCCTTTCATGTCAGGGGGACGTTCCAAGGCTATGGACAGTCAGGGACCGCACCTGAGCTCGTGGTTGGTATCAGGAGGGGTGGAGAGAGGGAGGGGTAGGAGGGTGACCGAAGGCACGGTCAAAGAGGATGCTCCTATGGTCACAATAACCTGTGACTGAATGGTTACACATGACAGAGCAGAGGACAGCCAGTGCCAATAGAACCTTACGCATGTAGAAGGCAAATTAAATGAAACAATTTCAAACGAGAGGAAGTGAGAAAAAAGCAGTGCAGAGTAAAGTACATTTTGTAATGTAAAAAGTATAAATTCTCCATTTGCCTCTTTTTTTGGCACTACATTTCTTGAATTGTATAAAACTCCTCCGTGAACAGTCTTTTCACTGGGGGGAGGATTTTAGAGTGTTAGATCTATTTTCTGGCTGGATTTGGCAGATTCTAAATTCTACACGTACAGAAATACGCCCGTTTCTGAAGCTTGTGTCTTTGTTGCAGGTGGTTTTGACTTGGACATCAAAGGATGGGGAGGGGAAGATGTGCATCTGTACCGCAAGTACCTGCACAGCGACCTGATTGTGATTCGGACACCGGTGCGTGGCCTGTTCCATCTGTGGCACGAGAAGCGCTGTGTGGATGAACTGACTCCAGAGCAGTACAGGATGTGCATGCAGTCCAAAGCCATGAACGAGGCCTCGCACGCTCAGCTGGGGATGCTGGTCTTCAGGCACGAGATCGAGGCACATCTGCGCAAACAGCGACACAAGACGAGTGTAAAGAAGACCTAAAGCAAAGCAGGCGCCGCAGGGCAATGAGCCAGAGTCTGAGAGCATCTTGGAGCGATCAACGCCAAAGTTGTTGGCCAGCCTACTTTCTGATCAAAGCCTCAGGAATTTTCTGTATTGTTCAGCATTGTACTGTTTCCCATCGCAGCCTGAGAGAGAGAGAGAGAGAGAGACCGCTCTCTGGGTCAGATTTATACGTCTCTTTGTCTTGGACTTCAAGGTCAATCGAAGATGACATCTATCTACTCCAATTCATCCCAGCTGCGCTTCAATGAAATAATAAACTGGATGACAACCTCCACGTTTCTGACAAATCTGGAGATGCCAAACTGGTTCAAACTTATTTATGTTTAAAAAAAACTGTAAAAGGTGACCATTTGTATTGAGTTGAGTGGATTGATTTGCTCTGCAAGAAGGTGTCACTTAAAACACTTCAAGGGTCTGAAGGCTGATCTGGTCAGATACTTGTCAATCATTTGGTATTTGTGATTTTGCTTTTTAAAAAAATTTACATTTTGTGGAATTGTTGTTGATACTCCATCAGCTGGTCAGCCTCCCTGAGCTGTCTGCCTGAGAGTCATTACCCCAAAGACTTTTTTGCGAGAATCCAAATAGTGAATTGAATACTTTATCAGACTGATTCAGGACCTGTTTGGGTGAGGCAGGGGGAGGTGGGAGGAGGAGGGTGGCTAAGAGACCTTAATTTTTATATATAAAACAAAGTCTGAAATGTGCTGTGGACAATGATTCCAACACAGTGCACTTTCTACCTTCAGTTGCACTTTTGTTTCAATTTGCTTTAAGCTGTGTATCACCCGAGTATATATGAAGTTCAAGCCTTACTAACACAACTAACCTACTGAGAATGCAATCTTTATAGCGTCTTTGGTACTGAACTGTACAAATATATGCCTTACAGTAGCTGCAAAGCCAACATGCTGTATTCTGCTGCACACATCTTAACTCTATATGCAATAACAGGTAAATTAACGTTAGACAAGCACTTTCTGTTGTTGGTGTAATTGACTAGAGCCTCAATGACGTCAGGAGGGGTTTCAAAGAAGTGAACTGCAATGTTAATAATTGTTTTGTTGCTTAACCCGTGAGACTCACTTCGCAGGCTTAGACAATCTGCTCTCCCTTCTGTTGTGGGAGATAAGACATCAGGAGTCATTGTACTGGTTGTGTTTCACACACTTAAGCTGACCCAGCACTCAGTGGGTGGGTTACCAGGGCTATGAAGCCTATTTTGTGGTTGTCTTTGAGGAGAATGGTCAGGTGGGAGTGGGGTGTGGGGGGAGGTAAATAATAATCAGAGAACTTGCATTTTTGAAGCGCTTTTTCATGCTGGAACGTCTTAAAGCGCTTCACGGTAATCACTGTTAATTAAAGTGACTGTTTTTTTTGACTGTAAAATGATTGACAGGAGCCATTTCATAGAATCATAGAATTCTACAGCACAGAAGGAGGCCATTTGGCCCATTGTGTATGTGCTGCTTCTTTGAAAAGAGCTATCCAATTCAATCCCCTGCTCTCTCCCCATAACCCTGCAAACTTGTCCTCTCCAGATAGTTGTTTGTACCACAGGGTCCCACAATCAGCCAATTCATCTGAGAGAGCATTAGCCAGGATGCTGTATGAAGCTCCTTTCCCTTTCTTGATAGATTCATTCATTTAACATCCACCTGATCAGGCAGGCCTCAGTTTAACATCTCATCTGAAAGATCGCACCTTAGACAAGGCAGCACTTCTCCAGTACCACAGTGGTGTCACCTTAGAGTATAACCTCACAACCTGATATGGAGCTTAAATCCATAAACTTTATACCAGGAGACGAACAAACAGTGCTACCAACACAGAAGGTTAATGAAGTGTTTTTGATGTTATCCTGAACAAGTTAATGGTGCTCACTGAGTTAATGAACACCAAGGTTACCAAATAACCTACAAATTCTGGAGATGCAAGTCACTGTCTTGTAGTTAACGAAGGACAAAGTGTGCAAGGATAGACAGTGGCTGATAGGATATCAGTCGATAATTGGGATCACTTGCCTGCCTTATCAGCTGATCACCAGAAGCACTCGCTGCCATAACCAGTGATCATAGCACTCATAACAAAGGAATAAAGAGAGTTTGCAGGAGAAACGCAAAGGCTCAAGGAGGATGGAATGTTTTTATTGCAGAGCAGGACTGTATTACCTATCGTATCAACGTTCAGTTTCATTCCCTGAAGAAATAAACAAACAACAAACATTACATTTGTATAACGCCTTTTGTGTTGAGAGGACATCCCAAGCCGCTGGACAATCAGTGTTTTGGACCCGAGTTGGGAGTCGGGATCGGGGAGGGTGGAGGGCGGTTGGTGGGGAAAAGGAAGGTGATCGACAACACGGTCAAAGAGGAAGGTTTGAAAGAGGAAAATGCACACGCACATTTCAAAAGTTACCAAAGGCTGTAAAAATGAAGCCACGTTTGTCAACAGTGAAATCCTGTTTGCACTTTACAGGCGCAACATTAATCTGTGTGAAAAGCTGGCACCTCATATTCCTCAAATCCTGGTCTAGTGTGACAGGCATCTCGTGACCCTGCGTGATGGAGCCAGGCGTGTACACAGTGTGTGCTGGGTGTGAGGTGGGGGAAGGTTTCTGTGCTGCTCCTGATAAAGCGTGCATTTTTCTTTCTCAATATGCCATTGTACAGATTATGCTCAGTCACACTGTAAGCCGTTTCCGTCCATTTCTCTCTTTAGGCCTCCTTAGCAAACAGGTCGCCAACTTCCAGTTTGGAGTATGTACACAGGGTCACAGAACTCTGATACCAGTTCAAACTCTATAACATGGACTAACCTAGTTAACCAGGAGTGAGGTGGTGTCTGCCAGTCTCCTCTTTCTAACAGGAAGCATAGTTGGGGAAGTAAGGACAGGACAACCTCTCACTTATGCCCAGTAAACCTGATACTTCCAGGGTAATTTTTTNCTAAAAAAGAATAACTGCAAAATACCCCAGACCAAACAGGTTTCCGGTTAAAATCTATGCAGTATTTGTAAACTAAACTGTGTGGGTCAGGTTTGCTAGGTCTTCAGATTGACGCTTTCAAAATTGTCATTTTTGATGGGTGCAAAGTCTCATTTCAAAAGGACATTGTTTACATAAACCTTGTTTTATTCACGACTGTTTAAACCTTTGGCTAAGATATTTCAGGTTTTCCCAAAGTATCAGGCAGTGTGCCATGCGCCTGTTGCTAATGTTTTAACAAAAGCTCTTCTGGGTGAGAACAGGAAGTGTGTTGAATCAGGAATATGATAAATACAGCAAGCTTACTGCGCTGGAGGTCTGCTGGACATCTGCACATCAAGAGTGTTAAAGTGGCATTTAGACTTATGAGAGTGAGCTCAAATGGTTTGTCTTTGAGTCATTTTTAATGCCTTGGAAACAATTATCCTGTGAGTGCAAATGTAACATTGCTGTCAGTTCATTGGGGTTTGATCTGTTTGTCAAGGTGTCCTGTTAAAGACAGTGCTACTGTGACATGACCACACATGGTTTTTTACCAAGCAGTCAGTATTTGACACAGAATTCTCTTCCGTGTGTGCTGCAGGGAATATAGTTGAGGTTTTATACATTCTAAATGGGCTGAAATATTTTTTTCCTAATGAGTTGACACCAGCGTGATTTTGATTAATTACATTGATCTTATACTTGCTAGGGAATGGCACTAAAGTGAGACAGTGTTGTGGGGACACTGCATTTGGCCAAGGATGGTGTGGGCGTGTGGGGGAAGCAGGGGATTGGTGAGGAATTGGGAGATCAAGAAGGTGGGGGGTGCAGGTGAGGGCTTAGGCAAGGGTATGAGGCTGAAATATCATCAAGTACCTAACAAAATCACCTTCCAACAGATATCACTATCTGTAAGACAGGAGGGGCAAGAAAGACAACAGTCATGTCCTGCCTGGCGAATTCTTTCTAGCCTCAGCACACATTTCAGGATCATAACCCAGTTGAAATGCTTACAGTTCTTCTGTTCACTGTACCAAACTGGGGTGCTGGTGGGGAGTTGGTGAAGCAAAATATGTTTTTTATAGTACAGGAGCATAATTCAGCCGCAATTTTCACAGCTAGAAGCTCAAATCTTCTTGTTGATGTCAACGTGGGTGGAAAGGGATTGAGATCTCCCCAGTGCCCGCGAGTGAATGTGTGCATGATGTTTGCTTAAAGGCTTTGACAAGTGTAATGTAATAGAAGTCAGACGCTTTCAGTCAGAAGCTCTTTCTGAGAATTGAGACAGGCAGCACATGAATTATGGAGCAAAACTGGCACTTCAGGGCATCTGTTTGATGTGCTGCTCAGTATTCTGAACAGAATGACAATCTCATCTGGATGCAAGACCTAAATACCAGGATCACTGGGTCAGCGCTATGCCCAGCTATGTTATATCCACTGCAGAATGTTTTGCATTCAGGAACATTGACATTTCATATAGCCACAAACATGTGTTTTTTTTTCAAAAATGTTTATTTAAATCAATGTAAAATACTGTACAGAAATCTGGATTTGCATAAGCGTCAGGTGTTCTTTGTGTTTATTTTGGTCACTTTTGTTTGTAAATGCTGAAGAATGAAGAGCTTCATCAGAAATAAATATACAAACTGTTGGTGGCTGTGTTATAATTGGCTTTTCACCAGCTGATAACACTGCTTATTTTAAGCTGCGCTGTTACACAAAATTATAACCCACATCACAACGCATCCTACTTAATTTCATCACCTACCACTCAACAAACCCTTCAAACAAAGACCAGAATAAAGAAAAGATTAGCGGGTAACATGAAAGGGAACCCTAAGGTATTTTATAAGCAAATTAAGAATTAAAGGTTAGTCAAAGGTAGGGTGGGTCCAATTACGGACCAAAGAGGAAATCTTCTTGTGGAGGCAGAGGGCATGGCTGATGTACTGAATGAAAAGAAGATGATGCAGCCAATGCCACAGTATCAGAGGGTAGAGAAATTGGATAAGAATAAACCAAGAGGAGGTACTACAAAGGTTGTTGGTGCTCAAGGTACATAAGTCACCCGGTCTGGACGGGTTGCATCCTAGGTTACTGAGGGAAGTAAGGCTGGAAATAACAGAGGCTCTGGCCATAATGTTTCAATCCTCCTTGGATGCAGGGTGGTGCCAGAGGGTTGCAAATGTTACTCCCCTGTACAAAAAGGGGCAGAAGGAGAAACCCGGGCACTGCAGGCCAATCAGCCTTACGTCAGTAGTGGGGAAACTTCTAGAGACTATAATCTGGAACAAAATCATTTTCACTCAAAAAATTAATAAAAGACAGCCAACACGGATTTGTTAAAGGCAAATCATGTCTAACAAACCTGAAGAGTTTTTTGATGAAGTAACAGAGAGGGTGGATGAAGGTAGTGCAGTTGATACAGTTTATATGGATTTTCAAAAGGCGTTTGATAAAGTGCCACATAAGAGACTTGTAAGCAAAATAGAAGCCCACGGTATTAAAGGGATAGTGGCAGCATGGATACAGAACTGGTTGGGAGACAGAAAGTAGAGTGGTGGTGAACGGTTGTTTTTCTGACTGAAGGGAAGTGTACAGTGGTGTCCCCCAGGGGTCAGTATTGGGACCACTGCTGGTTATGATCTGTATAAATGACCTGGACTTGGGTATAGGGAGTACAATTTCCAAGTTTGCAGATGACACTAAGCTAGGAAAAGTAGTAAACAGTGAGGAGAATAGTAGCAGACTGCAAATGGACATAAACAGACTGGTAAATGGGCAGACATGTAGCAGATGATGTTTAATGTGGAGAAATGCATTTTGGGAGGAAGAATGAGAAGAGGCATAATGATACCATTATGTACCATAATGATGGTACAATCTTAAAGGGGGTGAAGGAACACAGAGACCTGGGGGTTCATATAAGTAAATCTTTGAAGGTGGCAGGGCAGGTAGATAAAGCTGTTAAAAAAGCATACAGGATACTAGGCTTTATAAATAGGGGCATAGAATGCAAAAGGCAGGAAGTTATGATGAACCTTCATACCTTTATAAAATGGGACACTGCTGTCTGACATTGGCTGCCACGTTTCGCCCACAAAATATAGTCAATTCACTTTACAATACATTCTGCGCTTTGAAATGTCTCGACGACATGATAAGGCGCCATATCAAATATAAGGATTATTAGTATTATTTAAGCTAGAGTGGGGCTCCCCATCACTCCCCACCCCTGCTCAGTTGCTTTTCTGGCAACATTACAAAACAATCATCAGTCAGACACATCAGAGTGGACAGATTTTCAGCTAACAGTCAGTTCCAAATACACACTGCAATATAGAGCCATTTTATGGTGCCAAAAATTGTGTTTCACCATTAAACCAGGCCCAAACCATCAAATCCTGGGCAGCTCTGAGCAGTAGAGCTGCAGGGCTATCTGGAGGGGAAATTCTCTGCAAACAACTTTTAAGAGAGAAGTAGATAATTATTTGAAGAGGACAAGTTTGCAGGGCTATGGGGAGAGAGCAGGGGAGAGGGATTGATTTGGAAGCTCTTTTCAAAAAGCCACAGACATGATGGGCCGAATAACCTCCTTCTGTGCTGTATAATTCTATGAAACCATCCTGCTCTCTTCTGGCTGTTTCACTAATTCACTGAAGGTACCATTTGATATCTGGCTCCTATTTGTGTAACGCTAAACGAGACACTGGACTCTCAATTCACACTTTCGGTTAAGCCTTGCAGAGAAGCCAATGATGATAATAATAATAATAATAATAATCTTCTAGACATCCCAAAGCGCTTCACAGAATATACTGTAAAGTGAATTGACTGTATATTTGTGGGCGAACGCGGCAGCCAATTGCGCACAACAATGTCCCACAAACAGTCATGGATTGAAAATGACCAATTTATTATTGTTTTGTTTTGGAGGGATTATTATTAGGCGTGTGGAGTAAGGAAACTTGCCCAAGGTTTCGCCCTCTGCCTGGAATTGAATTCAGGTCTCTCACTTGCAAAGTGAGTGCTCTAACCACTGAGCTACAGGACTCCACATGATGCAGCCGACATTGATTATTATATTGCCGTTCGCCCCTAACAGTGTGCTTACTACAGTCTGTTTATCCAGTTCCCAGTTTATAAAAAGAAACGCTGTTGAGTTGATTTATTATGGGCCCCATACACCACAGTATCATCATGTTAGACTGTTTTCAATTCAGCAGTAAGTCTCAATTCTACCTTTACTCAAATACCACTGACCTGACCCCCTTTCTAATGCTCCAAATGACACACAGATCAATTGAACACATGCTTTGCAGAGCACAAAATGGAGGCACAAAGCCCAGGTATGCTGGCTGGGTGGAGTTGCTCAACAGGTGCCAGATGCAGCTGACTTGGAAGCAGAATAAAAATCATTGCAGGACCTTGATAGTGGTTCGAGTAAAAGCAGTATAAGCCCTGCCTCAAGTTGTGCAAGTGACCAAAAAATCCCAATAGAATTCTGCTCTGCCGTAAATAACAATTCACAACACTCCGTTTTTTTTAAAAAAATGGTCAACTTGGGTCATTGTCACATTATCAAAGAGAGTGAACAAGGAGCCTATTATTGTTGAAGAAGAGGTAGGTTATCATTTCCCAACACCTTGCCTACAAAACACACAGTCACTATGCTTTACAGTACTGTGAAGCACTTTGGGACGTCCTCTTGATGTGAAAGGCACTATAGCCAATGTCAGGATTATTATTATAACCACGAGATGGAGGACTTTATTTTAATTCCCGGTTTGGCCAAGTTGCTAACACAGGAACCAGTCATTTTCATCCAGTGCATAAGTAGGATGGAGAAAGACAAAGAATTGGAAACATTCAAATGATTATCAAAATAAATGGAATCTTTGCCAACAATAGCACAATTGCACTTTATTAAATTCACAGGAAAATATATGATCTTTGAACATCACAACTGGCTTTGATACTGCTCAGGTACCGATTTGTGGCATATCTGGAAACGCAGAATTAGCTCTCTTCCAACCATGTGAAACACCACAGATTATTTTATAACTATGAAAGTATGTTTCTTACAATACACAATGGCACAATTAGGAGGTGCACAATACTAGCACATCGTCACATCTTGTCAAATGCAGGCAGAATATAGCAGTAAACAATGAACCTTTCAAGATGTCCAGCATTTGTAAATAAAATGAGGATAGTTCTACTCCTTTGCCTCACAATCAATCAAACATCATCCCGATATACGATATACAAAAATGTATACCTTCAAATTGTCATGAGAAACTATCCAGTCCCACAAAAATACAGCAACATACTGTAGATGTTACATATATACCAGGCAATCTAGTAAGAGAATTGTGTCCATTTCAGACTGGATATATGATAAGATTTATATTCTTTCTGTACAGAAATATACAGTAAACCCCCAACACACTGGACCTTGGAATTCGGATCTAGCAGACGGGGCATGAAATGGCAAGAAATTTAAAAATAATTTCCCAAACAAATGCCCCAGTAAATGCCGATACTGGAATTACATTTAGCCAGAAATTCTGACTCGTTGGCAACATTGTCGGATTGGGTGGGTTCACGTCCAATAGCTATGCTTTTTTGTTGTTCAATGCATGAAAATTTGGCTTTGGGACGGTGTCTAGCTTTTAAAAAAAATTATTTAAACCTGGAAAATGTTTTTTTTCCCCCCTTTGAAGACCTTTCCTTACACAGTTGCAAAATCACTGACCTACATTGGCCACTCTGCTGCCCTATAGCAGCGAACACTTTTGGGCTAGTGTTTGGTTGACCTCTTGCTACAAATTATTGTAATTTCCGGCAACCCTGCTCACTCCTTCCCCATTGTTTCAGCTAGCCAGGGTTTTACTGTATAGAAATTCCCATAGAAATTGAGACTTAATCTTTGGCTCAATTACCTTTTTCAAATATTTGCTCAGATGACAAGGTTGAAGGAAGATTGACAATTCTTGGTTTTGAAGAATTCAATAGAAGAGACCAGCATAGTCTGGAAGGTCCTTGATCTGACCGCATGGGGTGATTAAGACTTCTGCACCCGCTGATGTAATTGGCTCATCCTGTCAGAAGACAAGAACAACAAAGGCCAAAGTTAAAGTGGTCAATGTTGTGGAACAATAAAGACCATATTTGTCCGGTGACTGGGGCTAGGGGCTAGTGGCTAGTGGGGCTCGTGGGAGCGCAGCCTCACCCACCCCTCCTCCCTCCAAATCTGCCCTGAGCCCTGAGGAGGACCACAGCCAGTCCTACGAGTAGCCCCAACACACAGCAATCATTGTGGCACCCACCCACTTCTGGTCTGGCGGGGTCCTTGTTGGGGTGTCTTCACTTCCGATCGGCTGATGGGCCTGCGAATCAAGCCAATGGCTAACAATCCGCCAAATAAAATTGTTCACTCACTCCATGGCTGTTTGTGGGGACATGCTGTGCCCCATTGGTTGCCACATTTTGTCTACAAAACGTAGTACTCCACTCATTTCCTGCTTTGATATGTCTCGATGAAATGATAAGGTGCTATATCAAATGCAAGGAGTATTATTATTATTATAATCCATTCATGTTATTCATTCCTTTGTCAAAATATCTCAAAGCCCTTCACAGAGTATAGAATAGTGATTGCCACGTTTGCCTACAAAACACAGTGGCAATTTGTACACAGCAGTGTCTCACATACAACCTCCAAACACCTCCATTCTGTCCACAAGCACAATCCTGAGCTTCCGGTTTCTTGCCACTTTGACTGTCATTTCCACTCGCACTCTGACCTCTCCATCCACGGACTCCTACGCTGTTCCAATGAACCACAAGCTCGAGGAACAGAAGCTCATCTATCTGCTAGGGACCTTATAGCCCCTCTGGCCTCAATAATGATTTCAATAATTTCAGACCATAACAGCTCACCTTCTCCCTCCGTCTCTTCTGTGAACATCACCACATCATCTGGGTCCGAGACACACATTTTCTCTCTCTGGTCAGCCTGTTTTGTTTCAATATTTCCCCCCTTTTGTTTTGTATTATTAACACCTTTTCCCCGTGTTTTGTTGCAACACCCCCCCTTTGTTTGCATCATTATCACTTCTTTAGCCCATCATCCCCTGTCCTCTACCTCATTTTCTTCTTTGTCTTTCTTACACTGTCTCCCCCCTTTCTGATAGCCCTTAAAATCCTCTCCCTCCCAACGTGCCCCAGTTCTGATGAAGGGTTGTGGACCTGAAATGTTGAGTCACTTTCCTTTCTTCATAGATGCTGCCTGACCTGCTGAGTGCTTCCAGCGACTATTGTTTTGTTTCAGATTTCCATCATCGGCAGTATTTTGCGTTTTGTTTATACCATAAAGTGAATTGACTGTATATTTTGCAGGCGTAACCTAGCAGCCAAATCATCCCCCTCTGGTTGACAGTTGGATCATTCTGGCCTAGACTAATGAATTCAATAGTGATTTGGATCCACAACCATCTGACTCGAGAGGCAAGAATGTCACTGACTGAGTCATAATGTTCAGGGACCAAACAAACCTGTAATCTGTTTGGTCAACTGGGTTTACTCATTGTTAACTGGGAAGCTGAATGACGCAATTGTTTCCCCACACAGTTTAATACAAACAAAAGTCGCTCACCTTGTGATACTCCACAAGGTCAGCCAGGGTTGTGTGTTGCAACTGGTCTGCCCCGAAGAAGCTGTACAAATCCTTTGAGGAATCAATGAGGAAATGCTTGAACCCATCACTGCTTCGGTAAGATAAGGCGTAGCCTGTGACCCTCTCACTGACACGGATTAGAAACCCACCAAGTTTGTAGTTGCTCAGCAGGTCCTCTGCCTCCTGCCTGCTTATAATACCTGGAATACAGCAAGTCAAAATACAGCCTCAATTACATATTAAGGGGAGGGGACGTGAGCCACATGGTTGGTAATGCTGCTGGACATGGTATTGCTCGATTAGTAGAAGTCTAAACTCTGTAACACCATTTTGTAATTTTCACATCAGGAGAACGTCCCAAGGTGCTGATAAAACACAATAAAACACATAAAATTAGTACAAAATTACATTTGTATAGCACCTTTCATGTTGGGAGGACATCCCTAATGCTCCAATCACATGATAGGAACATAGGAATTAGGAGCAGGAGTAGGCCATTCGGCCCCTCGAGCCTGCCCCGCCATTCAATAAGATCATGGCTGATCTTCTAACCTAGCTTCATCTGCCCGCCCTATACCCATATCCCTTAATCCCTCTATCCTTTAGAAATTATCAATCTCAGTCTTGAATATGTTCAAGGACTGAGCATCTACAACCTTCTGGGGTAGAAAATTCCATAAATTCACTACCCTTTGAGTGAAGAAGTGTTTCCTCAACTCTGTTTGAAAGGGCTGACCCTTAATATTAAAACTGTGATCTCTAGTTATAGGTTCTCCTACCAGGGGAAACAGTCTCACACTGTCTACTCTGTCAAGCCCCATAAGAATCCTATAGGTTTCTATAAGATCATCCCTAATTCTTCTATATTCTAAACAATATAGGCCTAGTTTACTCTAGTTTCAACCTATCCTCATATGTCAACCTCCTCATCCCAGGAACTAACCTAGTGAATCTATACTGCACCCCCTCTAAGGCGAGTATGTCCTTTGTTTCAATCCAATTGCAGATGGAAATTGAGTGAAACTCTTTCCCTCGAAGGTTGCATTTTGCATACCTAATTCCAGAGAGTATCGGATACAGGTTGGTGAGATCCGAGGCTTGTCTTAGAAACCTTATGAGTTTCAAGATCCACATTGGAACTTTGAACTCCAAATCCTGACTGACACTCCAATACAGCGCTGGGTGCTGTTTTGTTTAAGGTGCCGACCTTTGGAAGAGATGTTAAACTGAGATTCTTCTGCTCGTTCAAGTAGATGTTGATAATAATAATCCTTGCATTTCATATAGTGCCTTAACACATCTTCAAGACGTCTCAAAGTGCTTCACAGAATACACTGTAAATATACTGTAAAGAGAATTAACTGTATATTTGGACGAAACGCAGCAACCAATTACGCACAGCAGCGTCCTACAAACAGTCAAATTATTATTATATTTTCTTTGAAGGGATTATTACCCCTGGGAAAAGATCCGCCAATCAATCAACTGACAACCAGGTTCCTACTTCCTGCTGGGTAAACAGAAACATGTGGAATAAGGAAACTTGCTTAAGGTTTTGATCTGCGGGGAATTGAACCCAGGTCCTCTCACTTGCAAAGTGAGTGCTCTAACCACTAAGGTACAGGACTCCCATTGCACTATTCAAAAAGAAAAGGAAGTTTCTTTCAAATTCAGGGATTATTATTTTCTATTAATTGACCTAAGACATATTGTAAAGGTATCTATTTAAAAATCACCAATCCCGATTCCTACAGATGTCGTCTGACCATTGGTTGAACAGAAAGAATTGTAAAGGTTACCACCAGGTGGCATTATCTTATAGCTGATATATGAATAACCAAGGAATAAAAATAAAATTAAGAATGAAAGACATCAGATTTAGAATTTATTTTCCTATTCTGCTCTTCACTTTCTCTCTCAGTTTTCTAATCTTATTCAGTTCTTCGTTGTACATACTGTACTCTTTCTAGTTCCATTTATTCAACATGTCTAAAGTTTGAGTTGCTCATTTCTTTATTCCTGTCCCAGTGTTCTGTTTTCTAATTCTGTTGGCATCTGAATTTTTCAGTTTGATATCAGTCATATCAAATTTAGATGAAAGAAGAAGCAAACACAGCTTTCACTCTTCCGGGTGGCTGAAGATTTAACTTCAGGATAAACCTTGAAACAAGATGTCTGGTGAACGTCTGGGTTGGAGAACGTTGTTTGGAAACCAACAGAGGCAGGAAGCAAAAGAAGTAATCTGATGCTCTTGTTTACATGGTCTTAACACCCCAGGTACCTGCTCCTCTCTACATTTGACCTTCCTTTCTTCTCATTAAAACCACTGGAATCTTCCCGCTGTCAGTGCTACACCAGGCCAACTGAACAATCAGTCGGTCGGTCTGTCTGTCTATCCTCGAGAAGGGAAGATACACATTGGAATTTAAAAATAGATCAACTTACCATGAAACCAGGGTGCTATTTCATCTCTGTATCTTTCGTAACCTGCTCGGAGTGGAATTTGTTGTTCTCTAAACCACTGGACAACCTTCTCTTGAGAACTGTGGCAGTTTGTATGTTTTCTATTGTAGCAATCAAACAAATAAAGCAACATTAATTCAAAACTACAATAACAATGTACATAGACACAGGTCCCCTGAGAGACTTGGAACCCTTGTTGTGTCAACTTAATTCAGTGGTTCCCACTTGAGTGTTGTGGGTTCAAGCCAAATGTTGGGATTTTGAACTTGTACAGTCAAGGCTGATAATCCAATGCAATGCTGGGGATGTGTCGCAAAGATGCGGTGTTTTGGATGAGACATTAAACCAAACTCCTTTCTGCCGGTTCAGATCGATGTTAAAGAATCCATGGCACTGCTTGAAAAGAGACAGGAATTTCTCCCTGGCTCTCTCATTTCTCCTGTACATAAACCACGAAAAGGTAGCCTTTTAGCTCAAGCAGATATAAAAGGATTATGTCACAATCATTATCTAAAATAAATTAGTCAATGGGAAGCTTGTTTTGTCAATGTTATTCAACAACAACAACAACAAGATTCCATTTATAAAGCGCCTTTCACGTCAGGAGGACGTCCCAAGGCGCTGCACAGTTGGGTCATGACCCGAGCAGGGGGGAAATGGTCAGGGTGTGGGGAGGGATGGGAGGGAGCGAGAAGGGGGAAGAGAGTCGAGAGGGGAGCTGAAGGCTCGGTCAAAGAGAAAGGTTTTGAGACCGGCCTTGAAGGAAGAAAGGGAGGAGGCGGCGAAGGCACTGGGGGATAGAGTTCCAGAGCCTCGGGGCTGAGAGGCTGAAGGCCCGACCACCGATGGTAGGGCGGTTGGGGCGGGGGATGTGGAGCAGACCGGAGCCGGAGGAACGGAGGGTACGGGCAGGTAGGTAGGGGGATAGTAGGTTGGAGAGGTAGGAGGGAGCAAGGCCGTGAATGGCCTTGTAGGTGAGGATGAGGATCTTGAAATCAATCCTCTGGGGGATGGGGAGCCAGTGGAGGCGAGCGAGGGTGGGAGTGATGTGGTCCCGAAGCCTGGTGCGGGACAGTACACGAGCTGCAGAGTTCTGAATGACCTGCAGCTTGTGGAGGGAGGTGCCGGGAAGGCCGGCGAGCAGAGAGTTCCCATAGTCCAGCCTTGAGGTGACAAAGGCGTGAACCAGGGTTTCAGCAGCGTGAAGGGTGAGGTAGTGCCGTAGTCTGGCGATGTTCCGGAGGTGATGGAAGGCGGTGCCAGTTGTGGTGCGGATGTGAGGGAGAAAGGACAGCTCAGGGTCGAACAAAACGCCGAGGTTCCTGACTGGCTTTGAGAGGTGGAGAGTGCAGCCTTGGATGCTGATGGTGTCGTCGCCTGAGGTGCGGAGGCGCTGACGTGAGCCAATCAGGAGGGCCTCGGTTTTTTGCACGTTGAGCTGAAGAAAGTTGTCTCTCGTCCAGGACTCGATGTCGGACAGGCAGCTGTCAGGACATCGGTGGTCGTGGAGTTGAGAGTAGAGGAGGAAAGGTAGAGTTGGGTGTCATCCGCAAACATGTGGAAGTTAACTCCATGTCTGCGGATGATGTCACCGAGGGGGAGCATATAGAGGGTGAAGAGGAGGGGACCGAGGACAGAGCCCTGAGGGACTCCACATGAGACAGTACGGGGGGTGGAGGAGAAGCCATTCGTCGAGACAAAGTGAAGACGGTTCTGTAAGGAACTTACTCAAGTATTGGGAAGCATTTGGACACCATTCAATTGCAAGTCAGGACAACATTCAATTGCAAGTCAGGACAACATATAAATGTCTGGCGAGGCAGACTGTGGAATATGATATGAAGCTCTTTACCATTTAAACAAAGGTCCCCCGAGACTTGGAATCATCCAAGTTATTCTTCTCTCAATTATTCCTACAAGCTTTAAAGGTTGCTTTAAACTTCAAAAAGTATACAGAAGCATTGAAAGGATTTGTCTTGGAAGAAAATATGTCTAAGGGGAGAGGTATGCAAACTATTGTAATAATGAAAATTACAGTTGATGCAATCAGGCATGCGTTAACTGATTTGCATTTGTTTTCCTCGTTGCAAACCATGCTAAGCTATTGAAGAGCATTAATATTTTGCATACAATACATTCCATGGGGGGGGGGGGGGGGAGATTGCAATCACAATATGCCATTATTCAATCACTCCTGATGTACAATTCAAAAAATTCTAGCGATCCTGTCTGTTGAACTTTACCCATTGAACAAACAGCTGAATAAACAGCAGCACAAGCCCTTCGAAGCTACAGGAAATATTCTAATGCTTTGTTTTAAAACAAAGTGTTGATGTAGTGCAGCGTCAGCCAGTTCACTCCTCTGTAGAATAATCCTGTTCTGGGGGGTGGTTACCTAATAGCTCACTTAATAATAATAATATAACAGTAATAAAATAATAATAATAATTCCACTAGTGGTGAGTCAGTAACCCAAGGGCACCAATTTAAAATAGTTGTTAAAAGAAACAGAGGGGAGGTGAGGCGAAATTTTTTCACACAGCGAGTTGTTCAGATCTGGAATGCATTGCGTGAATGGGTAATGGAAGCTGATCTGATAACAACTTTTAAGAGAGAGGTAAATAATTATTTGGGGAGGACAAGTTTGCAGGGCTATGGGGAGCGCATGCGGGGAGTGGGAAATATGGCAGTCAGTTGTGGAAGCTCAATTGGAAGTCCTTTTCAAAGAGCTGACACAGACACGATGAGCTGAATGGCTTCCTTCTGTGCTGTATAATTATTCGATTCTATCATTCCATGAGTCTTTACACATACCTGTTTGTCTGTGTGTGTGTGTGTCTGGTGAGGGGTGGGATGGCATGGTGGAGGGAATGGAAATGGTGTGCATGTGGTAGGCACGTGCTGTGTGGGTGAGGGTCAGGTGAAAGAAGAGATGAAAAAACAAACAAAAAAAATTACTCATTTGTAGGACACTGCTGTGCACAATTTGACTGCCACGTTTCTCCCACAAAATACACAGTTAATTCATTGTACAGTATATTCTGTGAAGCGCTTTCAGACGTCTCAGCGATGTGAAAAGGCACTATATCAAATGCAAGGATTATTATTTTAGGAATGAAAGAAATTTCAATGTCACTCTTGCACGACACCCAGATACCAACTTGGAGTGGCAACAGTGGACACTTGGCAATCATACACCAAACATTTCCCATACGACCCAGACAATAAAACCAAAGCAAATTCTTAAGAAAAGTCTAAAACAGAATGGATCAGACTGATTTCCCTCCCACCAGTCCGCTTATATATGTAGGTATTATAATTGGAGCTTCTGCTTTTTGTTTCCAGGGTTTATATTTTTAGCGATATTCGAGTGGTTATAAATTCTGAGATTTTGTTAGTGTAATGAGAAGACATGTTTGCACACAGAGGGAAGAGAGGCACATTCAGGCTTTTATATACAAACGTTTCACCGGTCACACCTGTGCACCTGGAGCAACATGGAGAGAGAGAGAGAGAGAGGGAGAGAGAGAGAGGTGAGGGAGAGAGTACCTCACCTCAGAGTTGAGTAACTATTTGCAGGGTCTTTGTTGCTATGTTTATTGGTTAAAACTGCAAATCAGAAACCCAAACCATAATGGTAGTGCAATGTGAGCCAGGATACTCCTCAGGAGGGTGCTTCTGTTCTGCGGGGGGAGGGTGCTCACTGAGGAGTTCACATTATAATAATAATCCTTGCATTTGATATACCGCCTTATCAAGTCGTGGAGACGTCTCAAAGCGCTTCACAGGGTATACTGTAAAGTGGATTGACTGTATATTGTGGGTGACACTGGTTTGAAGTCAGCCCTTTTTGGTCCATCACACTTTCACACATCAGAGATAAATGATTTATGAAAGTAACCTAATAAATGTCCCCAAAATGTCATTGAAACTCTAACCTTTAAAAAACCCCACAAATTTCCAGTGCTGTGTACACCCACTGCATTACTGTGCTGTACTATATATTGCTAAAATGAAAAAGACAGCAAAACAACTAACCACTTCAGTGAATTGACTATATTATTGTGGTGACGAGACAAAGGAGGCCAAGAAAGAAGAGAAAGACATTTGTGATTGATAACAGGCAAACTAATTTTAATTTTAAACTATTTCTCAACCATCTACAATTAAATGAATCAGCTATGAACCTCAGGAGATGTACAGTTATTAGTGTAAGAGTTACAACTGTATTTACAAACTGGCTCCAAGTCTCACCTTGCTCTGTGGTCCTTTCGGTCAAACACTGGTTTGCGTGGTGGAACTGCTGGCTTTGTTTGGGATTGGAAATTCTGTGATAGGGCTGCCACCTTCCCCCTCTCGATAGCCTTGAGAGAGAGACGTTTGTAGTCATCTCGTGCCTGCTTGGCCACAGATTTCCTCCTCTCATCAGCTGCCTTTGATTTTCTTACTGTCAGAGAAAACACATTGCAAATGACAGCTGGTTAAGATGGTTTGTGGAAGTTTGTAAGCTCGCTCCTTTACACGGTTAACACGGTTGTTAGTCGATTGGCGGATCGCTTTTCTGGGGGAAATAATTCCATCAAAATAACAGAAATAATTTGGTTACTCAATCCACGACTGTTTGTGGGACACTGTTGTGTGCAAAATATACAGTCAATTCACTTTACAGTACATTTGAGATGCCTCGATGATGTGATAAGGCACTATATCAAATGCAAGGATTATTATTGTATTATATACCTTTATAAAAACATTTTGTATCAATGTCAGAGGAAACGTATTGAAAACAAAAAAATTGTGGTTGTGGCTTTCGACATTTACAAAATCTCAGTGCACTAAAATATACCAAATTAAAACCAATAGCTATAGTATCAGGTAAATAACAGGGAACGATGTCAACAAACTGTACAAATTAACCAGGAAGTTGGCCTTGCGTTTAAATATATTAATATTCCTTGCGTTTGATATAGCGCCTTATCATGTTTTTGAGACGTCCCAAAGCGATTCACAGGGTTTCCTGTAAAATGAATTGACTCTATATCTTGTGGGCGAAACGCGGCAGCCAATTGAGCACAGCAGTGTCCCATAAATAGACGTGGATGAGTGGCCAATTTATAAGACCATAAGACCATAAGACATAGGATCAAGAGTAGACCATTCGACCCCTCGAGCCTGCCCCGCCATTTAACAAGATCATGGCTGATCTTCTAACCTAATTCCATTTACCCGCCCTATCCCCATATCCCTTAATCCCTATATCCTTTAGAAATCTATCAACCTATCAACCTCAGTCTTATTTTCAAGGACTGAGCATCCACAGCCTGCTGGGGTAGAGAATTCCACAAATTCCCTACCCTCTGAGTGAAGAAATGTTTCTTCAACTCAGTTCAAAACCTTTAATCTTGAGACTATGACCCCTAGTTTTACATTCTCCAACCAGGGGAATCAGTCTCACAGCATCTACCCTGTCAAGACCCTTAAGAATCTTATGGGTTTCTATAAAATCACCTCTAATTCTATATTCTAGAGATTACAGGCTTAGCTTACTCAACCTATCCTCATAGGTCAACCTCCTCATCCCAGGAACCAACCTAGTGAACCTACGCTGCACTCCCTCTAAGGTGAGTATGTCCTTTCTTAAATAAGGAGACCAAAACTGCACACAATATTCTAGGTGCAGACTCACCAAGGCCTTATACAACTGCAGCAAGACTTCCCTACTCTTGTACTCTAACCCTTTTGCAACAAACTCTGACATGGCATTAGCCTTCCTCGTTGCTTGCTGTACCTGCATACTAACTTTAGGTGATTGGTGTACAAGGACACCCAAATCCCTCTGAACACTAACACTACCTAGTCTCTCCCCTTCTTGAAAATAATCCGCTTTTCTATTTTTACTACCTAGGTGAATAACTTCACTTCACCACGTTATGCTCCATCTGCCATCTTCTTGCCCACTCACCCAGGCTATCTATTTCCCTTTGCATTTTTCTTGAGTCATCCTCACAGCTTACTGTCCCACCTAGCTTTGTATCGTCCACGAATTTAGATATGTTAAGTTCTATTTCCTCATCTAAATCATTGATATAGACTGTAAATATTTGAGGCCCAAACACTGATCCTTGTGGCACTCCACTAGTTGTTGACCTCAAACTCAGGTCCTCTTGCTTGCGAGACGAGTGCTCTAACACTGAGCTACAGGACTCCATATAGCACCTTATCACGTCATTGAGACGCCTCAAAGCGCTTCACAGAATATATTGTAAAGTGGATTGACTGTGTATTTTGTAGGCGAAACACAGCAGCCATTTGCACACAGCAGTCTCCCACAAACAATCGTGGATTGAGTGACCAATAATAATTCAGATCAGCTCCAGATCAGCTCCCAGACATTTATAAATATATTTATAAATATACATTTTACATATAAGAGCAACAACTTCATGAGAAATAATAGCATGAGCAGCAATAACACTTTGTTGTCATTTCACACATGCAAATATTCAAGGCCTCCATTCCCACCTCCAATGATTAATATAAACATAGGTAACTGAATGCTTCAGTGGGTTGAAATGCAACATTTTCCACCTCAGCCCACCGCTAAAATCAAACCAAAATGGAAGGATTGTATTCCAACTTGTTCAAAGTAAAATATACAGTGTTGGCCTGGAAGAAAAATCCAGTGACTTATTGGTGCCGGAAAGCATAAACTGGTTCATTACCACAAGGAACCTTTGAAATGTTGAATTTCCTTCTGATGCAAACTATTCTCACTTTGTAGTAAATTATTTGGGGGCATTTTATTCCTATTCAGCACCTTGGGACATTCTCTCGACGTGAAAGGCACTTTACAAATGTAATTTTGTTATTGTTGTTGTATACAGCACTGAGCGGCCCTGATGTAGAGAGATTAGCTGATGTTTTTTCTCTGAAGTTTGCAGTGCCTGTGGTGGACATAATAGGGGCAGGGGTGTGGTATGGGTGGGGGGGTGGCCTTTGTGAGTACGGATAGTGCCTTCATCTCCTGCTCTGCTTCTGTTCTCATCGTTCACTGCGATAGCAAGAAAGTGACAAGAAGGTATGAAGCAATGTGGAGAACGATAGGAAGAGAGGCAGAGCGGGAGATGTGAGGCACGTTTAGAGTAACAAAGAGAGATGGAACCAAGGGAAGGTGGTGCCATTATTGGCCCGTTCTCCCACTCCGATTGCAAAACTTGGCTCTGCCATTGTGCAGTGCTATTTCTGTACAATACAAACCAGTCTCAACACTATAACTGGACACGTTTCCAAAGAATACAGTGTGTGAATAGACCTACTGTAGTTTAAAAACACACTTCAGATCCTGTTTTACAATTCACCAAAAAATTATTTGCAGAATTCAATCTTGCGGTCACTGTGTACACAGCAAGGGGGCGTTGGCTGGGATGTTAAATCTCGCATTGCAAGCTGATAGGCATCAAATTAGATTTTGTCTGTCAGTGCATGCAGCACAAATACCTCCATACTTTCAGATTCAAGGAACTTACAGAGGTGCAATTTATACGGCTGATGAGGTTGAAAACACAACCCATTTTTAGAAAACCACATCCTGTAAAATTCCCCCAAATCTCCCACAAACGATTATTGATTCTGTGATCGGTTATCATTCTATCTGACATCTGAGACCAACGCAGGGAAAGCTGCCTTCGTTACGCCAGGTCATCTCACAGACCAACCCTGGGTTTTGGAGGATGCTACTATTTTTATTTAGTCTTTTCAATTTCATTCCGATGCCAACAGAACCAGAGAGAGAGAAAGAGAGAGATGAGGTAGGGGAGGTGAAACAGGGAATTTCCAGGGTCAAGGAAGGCCTGCGGTAGAAATAAACTTCTGCTCAGGGAGGCTTCAACATTTAGTTGGATAAGCAGAAAAGCTCAAAACAAATTAAACACTGGAATTTGGACTATTCAGAGACAAGGTGCCTGGCTGGGATATTTTCCTTTTGTTACAAAGAAACCACACTGAACTTCCTGGTGAATAACCTTGAGCTTTGAAAGAATTTTCAGATTAAACTGCAACTTACATTCCAAGGGCAGAAATGTCTTTGTGCGGGCAGGACCATTTAGCCCCCGGGCTGCCTAGAGTCCTGTAGCTCAGTGGTTAAGAGCACTCGCCTCGCAAGCGAGAAACCTGGGTTCGATTCCCGGCAGGGCGAAACAATGGACAACTTTCCTTACTCCACACACCTCTGTTTACCCAGCAGTAAGTAGGAACCCGGTTGTTAGTCAATTGGCAGATCACTTTTCTGGGGGTAATAATTCCTTAAAAGAAACTCACTCAATCCACGATTGTTTGTGGGCCACTGCAATCGGCTGCCGCGTTTCACCCATAAACTATACAGTCAATTCACATTGCAGTATACTCTGTGAAGCGCTTTGAGACGTCTCAAAGACATGATAAGGTCCTATATCAAATGTAAGGATTATTATTATCTTAATCCACACATTCATCACATCCAGACTAAATTACGCCAACTCTCTGCTTTGTCACCGGTCTCTTCCCTACTCAAGCTGCAAACTCTCCAGAATTCTGCAGCTCGTGTCCTTTCCCACACTAGGTTCCATGAGATTATTACCCTCATTCTCACCCGGATCCATTGGCTCCCTCAGCCCCCAGTGTATTAAGTTCAAGATCCTCGTCCTCATCTTTAATTCCCTCCATGGTCTTGCCTGATCCCACCTCTGCAAATGTTTATGATGCAAGAGGTTATTTGGCTCATTGTGTCTGCGCTGATGGCAGCTCTCCCACAGAATGAGTTTTCAGCCGTGTGTCTGACACTAGCAGCAAACCACCAACATGCTTAATAGTATCCAAACAGCAGAGTTCCACATATGTTTTTTCAAACTCTACCAACCTGACTGCTCCCTCCGGGGCTCAGCAGTCACCGGCCTGCTTCACGCCCACTGCATCACCATTGGCAGACCCCCACTCTCTGGAACTCCATCCCAGAATCTCTTTGTTTTGTCCTTACCCCCTGCCTCCATCAAGATCTGCCTCAAAACCTTTCTCGAACTCCACTTTTAGCCATCTTTCCCTCCACCGCCGCGCTCCTCTAACCCCAAACCTGCACTGTTCAGCGCCGGGGACATTCTCTCAATGTGAAAGTTGTTATACAAATGTAACTTTGTATTGTAATTTGTATTGTATTCCTTCCTACCTCTGTGACCCGCTAACCCCTACTAACCTGTCCACTCCCTCCGCTTAGCAGGCTCCGGCCTGCGCAACGTCCCCTGTCTGGACCACCCCACCATCGGCGGTCGGGCCTTCAGCCTCTCTGCCCCCACCCTTTGGAACTCTATCTCACAGTCCCTTCACCTCACCCCCTCCCTTGCCTCCTTCATGGCATGTCTAAAGACCCTCCTCTTCGACCGTGTCTTTGGCCACCCTCCTACTCCTACCTTCCCTGCCCTGTACCCATCCTTATCACAACCCACTGCTTGAGTCCAAAATCCCTGACTGGGACGTCTTCCCAATGTGAAAGGTGCTATACAGATGTAATTTGTTGTTGTTGTTTATCCCTGTGGTTTCCTGCTTTTTAAATATCAATCTAGTTAATTGAAAAGCTAAAATAGATTCTAACTGCTCCTTACCAAAGCATTCCATACCCTAACAACTCTGTACCTGATAACATTTCTCCTAATCTCCCCATTTACTAGCTATCTTAAATTGGTGCCTTCTGGTCACTGATTCATCAACTAGTGGAAATAATTTATCCCTACTGACTCACAAAAAAACCCTCATAATTTAAAGACCTTTATAATAATAATAGTAATAGTCCTTGCATTTGATAGAGTGCCTTATAATAGCTTAGAAACATCCCAAAGCGCTTCACAAAATATACTGTAAAGTGTAATGATAAGTGTGTTTTGTGGGAGAAACGCGGCAGCCAATTGCGCAGTGACATCCCACAAACAGTCGTGGATTGAGTGACCACATTTTTTGGGGGGAGGGATTATTACTCCCAGAAAAGCCATCCACCAATCGACAAACAAGCGGGTTCCTACTTACTGTTAGGTAAACAGAGCTATCATGTCAGCCTCAACTTTCTTTTCTTTCCATCATAAAAAGTCTAATTTCCATTCTCTGCTCATAGGTCAAACCACTCATCCCGGAATCACCCTGTTAAATCTCCTCTGCACCTCTCCCTATGCCGTTGATGTTCTTCCTAAAGTGGGATGACCAAAATTGGACACAATATTCTCCCTGGAGACTACCTAACGATTTATACAAGGTTAGCATACCTCTTTAGTTTTATTTTTTTTTGCTTTTCCGGGGGTAATAATTTCTTCAAAAAAAATAATAATTTGGTCACTCAATCCACAATTGTTTGTGGGACACTGCTGTGTGCAATTGGCTACCACATTTTGCCCACAAAATATACAGTCAATTCACTTTACAGTATATTCTGTGAAGTGCTTTGAGACGTCTTGAAGACGTGATAAGGTGCTATATCAAATGCAAGGAGTATCATTATTATTATTCTATAAGCGCTATAAGCGCTCTGAGATGCCATCTGGCGTGGGGGGCGCTATATAAATCCAAGTTGTTGTTGTTGTTGTTGTTATACCCCTATTTATAAAACCTGAGATTCTGTTCACTTTCTTGGCAGCTTTGTCCATCGAACATTGTTTAACATTACTTTCTGTTTAAAGTCCTGGAAAACAACTTTGCTGGAATTGGTGCTTAACCTTCCAACCTCACCCCCATGAAAGTTCTTTAGTGTAGTTTAGTGCCTCACATTGCTATGAATACTTATGTTATAGCCAGTAGTAAAAATAGCAAATTAAATAGCCTCTTTTAGATAAGGCAGCTTTGAGCAGGCACCACACACTGCAAAAATAAGTAGAAATTTGCAGCAAACTAACTGCAAAAATTTGACGACAATGTTAATTTTGCTTGTGCTTCTGTGTCATATTTTTTGAAAAATGTAAACTAAAAATAGAACTAGCTGACACACCTCTGTTTATCTTGCAGTAAGTAGAAACCTGGTTGTTAGTTGTTTGCTGGATAATCCGCCCACCCCAGAAAAAAAATGGTTTGTGGGACAGTGCTGCTGCCAATTATTATTATTATAATAAAGAACATTCCAGGTGTCATTCACATTGTTTGATAAGGTTTACCAGGTAATTCTGTGTACCTGCTTATTTGTATGTAGTTAAACCCAACCCACAAATTTTTCATGTGGTTTGTTGAACTTTTCTGGAAAAATATAAAAGTCTTACAGGAAAATGCTGCCACAGCCTTTGGAAATACGTAATTGTTCGATAATTATTCAATCCTCCTCCTCATACAATCATCTCATTCTATGAGAACCCGTGCCACAAGTGGAAATATTAAACGAAATCAAAGTAGGGAACAAAAATCAACCAGCCTTTTCCAATTAGTGGTGAAACTGAATTAGTATGATTAATAATTAATAAACTGTACATTAGAAAGTTATTTGGCCCATTGTGTCTGTACTGATGTCAGCACTCCTAAAGAATGGTTTTCCAGCCAGGGTATCTGACACAGAGTATCCTTAAGAGTATCTAAACCAGCAGAGCTCCACATATGCATGTCACCTACACAAGGACATTTTGTGTCTCTGGAATGAAATGTGCACTCTCTGCCTTTTCCCTAGTTTTGCCAAGTACAAAGGAAGGTCACATCTCCCTGAACAATATCTAATCTTTGGTTATAATGAGACCCATAAAAAGCTGAACTCATTTTTAATTGAAGATCACAAAAACCACGAACCAGGAAATAATAATGGTGCAAACAGGAGACAAAATCAACAAACTCAAACAAGTCTTGAATAGAAGGAATTGGGGGGTGGGGGGTGAGAGGAAGCAAGCAAGAAACAAAACAAGAAAAGATAATTTATTGGATTGTATTATTCGGCCTTGAAGTTGACATTCATTCACGAGCAGAAATGTTACTGCACATGTTCATTCCATTTATGGACTTAAGAGTAGAAAACAACAAGCATGCTAAACAGCTGCCTTCCTTTCAGTTGTGAACTGAAGAAGCTTTACACATGTGATAATATTCCCCTAGTAATCTCGGAGCAACCAATGAACGAAAGCCAAGTAAACAATCAAAGCCATAGCATTAGATCTACAAAAGACCCACTTATTTCAGAAGACAGAGGCCCTTGTGTAATAATAATAATAATAATCCTTGCATTTGATATAGCGCTTTTCACGTCGGGAGGACGTCCCAAAGCACTTGATTGCATCATTTAGCCCACAGAAACTTCAACTCATATTTTCCTACTTAAGATAAAGTTTCTGTTTGTACCCATTATAATAATAATATTTCCTTGCATTTGATATAGCGCCTCATCACATCTTTGAGAGTCTCAAAGCGCTTCACAGAATATACTGTAAAGTGAATTGACTGAATATTTTTTTTGACGGATTATTACTCCCGGAAAGCGATCCGCCAGTCAACTAACAACCGAGTTCCTACTTATTGCTAGGTAAACACAGGCATGTGGAGTACGAAAACTTGTCTAAGGTTCCTCCCTGCCCGCTCCTCTCACTTGTGGGGCACAATGGGATTATCTAACGACTGACCCACAGGACTCCATAATCCCATTGTGCTGATAACCAGTGTGTACATGACGCCACCTAACCAGTTAAAACCACACAGCCCACCACAAGACTCCCACCAGGATCTTCCTACTGACTCCAACCCTCAACATTCCTCTCCACACATGCAGACACCTATTCCTCACACCCCAATCCCTCCAAAACCGCCGCCTCAACCTCTCCACTCCTCATTCTTCTCGACCCTTGTGCCATATTCATCGGGTCCGTTCACTGATTCCAACGGCACCTGATATGTATCATCTACCAAATATATACATCTACCAAATACATCTACCAAATGTATACACCTTTAGAATTCCTTGGAAGCTCCCTAAACCAGTCAGTCAATTCAATTGAGAGAGAAAAATACATCAACTTGGAGACTTAACAAAAATGGAAAAACTCTGCCCTAATATTCTGACTAAATTGTAAAATAACGGTAGGACCTGATTAATCAATAAAATAATTAATGCCTTGGTTTAGGGCCCTGATGTCTAAGGGGCTCCAGATATGGATATTACATTGGAGGCATTAGCTATAGCTATAATGAAAATACCTAAAATTAATATAACATAATTTGTAAGATTGCAGTAAAACAGTCAAGGACTGAGTTAGATGAATATGTACATCCTGTACGTCTTCGGAACCGACTAAATAACAAATGTAAGGATTATGATTAATCCAAAAACAATTATCGCAATCGAGAAAAGCACATAGAGCTGGTGTTCTTGTGATATTTTTGTCTCGGAATCAGTAGGTAAATCAGCTTTTTTGCCACTTTTCTCGTGTCATTTGCAACTTTACATGCTTTAGCGCGTTTCGTTATGTTCATTTCTAAGCACTTTTAAATTTGTATATTAAAATAAAATCTTTTATTAAATGTCAACATGTGTCTGTCATCCACAAAAGGTATTGCTGCATATTTTGTGAGCAAGGTACAAAGGGTCCCAAATGTGATCGAGTTTGGGAGCCCCCAAAATCCCTTAACCTGGTCCTGAATAATTGTACTTACGACTCTCTCGCCATTCAGGATCTTCTTTCTCATTCTTCTGTACCATTTCCTGAGCTTCCTTCAAATTTATATATAATTGCTGCGTTCTCTCTTCTTCCAAACGCTTGATCTCCTCCTCTTGCGTCCTGCGTTCTTCATCTTCTTTTTGCTGGACAACAGAGAAAACTCACTTACTTAAAGAGAACATTTAACATTTAGGAACCTTTCTAGCGGTAATAATCCTTTCAAAAAAGTAATAAATAAATAATAAAATAATTTGGTCACTCAATCCATGACTGTTTGGGGGACATGGCTGTGCACAATTGACTGCCGCGTTTCGCTCACAAAATAGTTTTGTTTGACCCTCAACTATCCTTTCTACCCCACATCTGCACCGTGACCCGCTCTGCCTTCCCCCATCTTCGCAACATCGCCCGGCTCCAGCACTGTGTCATACTGCGGGCCGTCAAAACCCTAATACACACCTTCATGAAATGCTGTACTCTGTCCAGCACCTTGCGACGTCCTCCCGACATGAAAGGTGCTATACAAATGTAATCTTGTTGTTGTTGTTGTTATTGTTCATTACATCGAGGCTCGATTACGCAAACTCAGTGCTTGTCAGCCTCCCAAACTCGTCCCTCCACAGGCTGCAGATCATCCAGAACTCTGCAGCCCATGTCCTCTCCCGCACTAGGCTCCGCGATCCTATCATCCCCATCCTTGCCCAACTCCACTGGCTTCCCATCACACAGAAGATACAGTTCAAGATCCTGGTCCTCACCTTCAAAGCCCTCCATGGTCTTGCTCCCCCTTACCTCTGTATCCTCCTAACCCCCTTCCATCCTGCTCGCAACTCCTCTCAGCGGGCTCCGGCCTGCTCCACATCCCCTGCCTCGCTCACCCCACTATTGGTGGGCGGGCCTTCCGTCACTCTGCCCCTACCCTCTAGAACTCCATCCCGCAGTCCCTCCGCCTCGCACCCTCCCTTGCCACCTTCAAGACCCATCGCAAGACCCTCCACTTCGACCGTGCTTTTGATCTCCCTGCTTCTCTGGCCTAAAGGTCCACCGAGAAATCTGGCTGGACCTCCTCAAAATTTACCGCTCCACTCTAGCCTCGGCCAAGTCGTCCTTCTACTCCAGGATAATCCTGGAGGCGAAGAACAACCCCAGGCTACTGTTTTCCACCACAACCCGACTCCTCCGTCCCCCCCGCCACCCCGCGCAGGTCATCTCCTCCAACCTTCACTGCGAGGAGATGCTGGATTTCCTTGAATCCAAGATCAAGGGAATCCGCTCCGCGGTCACTTCCCCTCCAACTTCCACCCACCACCCACCCCTTCCCTCCCACACTCCGACTCCTACCCATCCTCCCCTACACACCTTCGTACCCGTTTCCCCACCCTCTGTCACTGAACTCATCCTATCCCTAAAACCAACCACCTGCTCCCTTGACCCCATCCCCACTCCACTCCTTATCTCCCAGCTCCACTTTCTTGCCCCACATATCACTGACATCATCAACCTGTCCCTCTCCTCTGGCTCTGTCCCCATTCCATTAAAAACTGCCATCATCACGCCCACCCTGAAAAAACCCTCCCTTGATGCGTCGCAGCTATCAAGCTACCGGCCCATCTCCAACCTCCCCTTTCTCTCCAAGGTCTTGGAAAGAGTTGTCGCCTCCCAACTGCGCTCTTTCCTTTCCACCCATTCTCTTTTCGAACCCCTTCAGTCAGGTTTCCGTGCTGCCCATAGCACAGAAACTGCCCTGGTCAAGGTCACCAATGATATCCTGACCATCTGTGACCAGGGCTCCCTCTGTCTCCTCGTCCTCCTCGACCTATCGGCAGCATTCGATACGGTCGACCACGCTATCCTACTCCACCGCTTGTCCTCCCACCTCAACCTTCAAGGCACTGTCCTTGAATGGTTTAGGTCGTACCTTTCTCACCGTCTTCACTTTGTCTCAACGAATGGCTTCTCCTCCACCCCCCGTACTGTCTCATGTGGTGTCCCTCAGGGCTCTGTCCTCGGTCCCCTCCTCTTCACCCTCTATATGCTCCCCCTTGGTGACATCATCCGCAGACATGGAGTTAACTTCCACATGTATGCGGATGACACCCAACTCTACCTTTCCTCCTCTACTCTCAACTCCACGACCACCGATGTCCTGACAGCTGCCTGTCCGACATCGAGTCCTGGACGAGAGACAACTTTCTTCAGCTCAACGTGCGAAAAACCGAGGCCCTCCTGATTGGCTCACGTCAGCGCCTCCGCACCTCAGGCGCTGACACCATCAGCATCCAAGGCTGCACTCTCCACCTCTCAAAGCCAGTCAGGAACCTCGGCGTTTTGTTCGACCCTGAGCTGTCCTTTCTCCCTCACATCCGCACCACAACTGGCACCGCCTTCCATCACCTCCGGAACATCGCCAGACTACGGCACTACCTCACCCCTCACGCTGCTGAAACCCTGGTCCACGCCTTTGTCACCTCAAGGCTGGACTATGGGAACTCTCTCCTCGCCGGCCTTCCCGCCACCTCCCTCCACAAGCTGCAGGTCATTCAGAACTCTGCAGCTCGTGTACTGTCCCGCACCAGGCTTCGGGACCACATCACTCCCACCCTCGCTCGCCTCCACTGGCTCCCCATCCCCCAGAGGATTGATTTCAAGATCCTCATCCTCACCTACAAGGCCATTCACGGCCTTGCTCCCTCCTACCTCTCCAACCTACTATCCCCCTACCTACCTGCCCGTACCCTCCGTTCCTCTGGCTCCGGTCTGCTCCACGTCCCCCGCCCCAACCGCCCTACCATCGGTGGTCGGGCCTTCAGCCTCTCAGCCCCAGGCTCTGGAACTCCATCCCCCAGTGCCTTCGCCGCTTCCTCCCTTTCCTCCTTCAAGGCCGGTCTCAAAACCTTTCTCTTTGACCGTGCCTTCAGCTCCCCTCTCGACTCTCTACCCCCTCCTCGCTCCCTCCCTTCCCTCCCCTCACCCTGACCATTTCCCCCCTGCTCGGGTCATGACCCAACTGTGCAGCGCCTTGGGACGTCCTCCTGACGTGAAAGGCGCTTTATAAATGGAATCTTGTTGTTGTTGTTGTTCTCCCTTTGCCCTCTACACTCCCCGATCCCGAGCTCGGGTCCGTAACTCTGTCTGTCCAGCGCCTTGGGACATCCTCCCGATGTGAAAGGTGCTTCACAAATGTAATTTTGTTGTTACAAGATATCCTGTGAAGCGCTTTGAGACGTCTTGAAGACGTGATATCGCACTGTATCAAATGCAAGGATTATTATTAACAATTTGCTTCCTATATGAACTGCAGGCCTTTGGAAGCAGAAAACAGTTTTTAACAGAAATATTTTATGTGCTATCAATTCAGAAAAGGTTCTTACTTCCATAAATATTTTTCTCCAGGCTTCAATTACTGCACTAGGCACTAGTGATTTAAATTTTGTTCAATAGAAAAATGAGGATGTAGCATCACAATGTTGCAATAAGCTACCAAATGAAGAAAGTTTGACGAATTTTCTCAAAAATTGGTGGCTTGACAATAAAACAAGTTGATGAAGTTGATGTAATGTAAATACAGAAGTTCACTATGGTAAATAGTTTAAATACCAGAGAATACAAGTTAAAAATCAGTCAAGCAGAGTTTTGAAAAATAATGCAATGCATCATTTAATAGGTATGTTATGGAACTCCATCCCCCAGTGCCTTCGCCGCCTCCTCCCTTTCCTCCTTGAAGGCCGGCCTCAAGACCTTTCTCTTTGACCGAGCCTTCAGCTCCCCTCTCGACTCTCTACCCCCTCCTCGCTCCCTCTCTTCCTTCCCCTCACCCTGACCATTTCCCCCCTGCTCGGGTCCTGACCCAACTGTACAGCGACTTGGGATGTCCTCCCGACGTGAAAGGCGCTCTATAAATGAAATCTTGTTGTAGTCTTAAATGGAATCTTGTAAATTATAAGGATTATAAGAGGAAACCATAAATAAAATAAGAGGTATTAATAATAATAACAATATTCCTTGCATTTGATATAACGCATTTCATATCATAATATTTAATATTAAAAGGCACCAAAGTTCATTTCTAGAGAAAGAGAAAGGATTATTATGAAAAGTCAAGTGGGTTGATTTGAGACCCATCAAGAAGGTGATGTCATGATCTTGCCTTGTTCTCAATAATTCATGTTTTGATGTTCTTGTGTAACCAACAAAAATATTTATAAGATTATTTATTGAGCACAAAATGTCTGAAGGGAGACTTGCTTGTCTGCTTCTCAAGCTAATGAATTGCAGTCATTGTCATATTTCCATGCATCAGTCTGGCTTGGTTAGTAGCACTCTCGCTTCTGAATCAGAAGTCCTACTTTGGGACTTGAACTCACATGGTCTAATTTGACATCTCAATGCAGAGTTGGGGGCGTGTTGCATTGTGGAAGGAGCACCATTTGTTCCCAGTGTCCTGGCCATGTAATCCCCAAATAAATTGGTCATTCACTTCATGGCTGTTTGTGGGACATTGCTGTAAGCAATTGGCCACCAGGTTCGCCTACAAATACACAATCAGGGGGCGAGGTAGAGGGACTGCGAGATGGAGTTCCAGAGGGTGGGGGCAGAGTGGCAGAGGGCCCGCCCACCAACGGTGGGGCAGGCGAGGCAGGGGACGTGAAGCAGGCTGGAGCCCACTGAGCGGAGGGAGTGGGCAGGCTGGTAGGATTAGAAGGTCACAGAGATAGTGGGGAGCAAAGCCATGGAGGTCTTTGAAGGTGAGGACCAAGATGTTGAACTGTATCCTCTATGTGATGGGAAGCCAGTTTAATCCAATTTAAATGAAAGGGATCCATCCCATCTCAATTACTCCACATTCGTCACAACTGTTAATGGGTGTCAGTTTTGTCTCACAGAATGAGACACAAGTATTGTACAGTAGTTTGTGAAACTGATCTATTGGCTCATAACGACAATGAGAGGTAAGGAATGATACTGGGTGTGGATCTATACTAGTTGTCCCTGCAGTTTGGGTCTAACTTTTTTGTTACATCTATATAAGGAAACCATCTATTTTATCATTAAATAAGAAAGTCAGGGAGGAAAACAACAATGTGAGGATGTAAAGGACATCAGTCAGAGGATACAGTACAAGGTGCTGGTCTTCACCTTCAAAGCCCTCCATGGACTTGTTCCTCCCTACCTCTGTGACCTCCTAATCCCCTACCAACCTGTCCACTCCCTCCACTTAGCGGGCTCGGCCTGCTTCACATCCCCTGCCTCGCCTGCCCCACTATTGGCGGGCAGGCCTTCAACCTCTCTGCCCCCACTCTATGGAACTTCATCCCACAGTCCCTCCGCCTTACCCCTTCCCTTGCCTTCTTCAAGACCCATCTCAAGACTTTCCTCTTCGACTGTGCCTTAAGTCACCCTCCTATCCCTCCCCTCTCTGCCCTCCACCCCTCCTGATCCCAACCACCAACTCGGGTGCAGATCTCTACTGGGACATCCTCCTGATGTGAAAGGTGCTATAAAATGTAATGTTGTTGCTGTTATGGAGAAAGTGATGATGCAGGGAAGTTAAAGGAATAGTCAACTGCAAAACAGAAACATGAACAGGAACAGAAAAGGAAGAAATAACTGAGAATGAATCAACTTGAGGAACACAAACTGGGTTCTTGTACAATATTGGATTAAACTAAATAAAACCCATCAGCAAATACACAGTAAAAATATTGAACTTCCTTGTATACAGATGCATATCAGGCAGTGCATAGTTGGACTGTAGTTTAAACACTATCCTATTTATTTTGACAAATAAATAATTACCAAAACCTCAAAACTACAGGACTTGCACAAGACTCGGAAGAAAAAGTATAAAAAAACAAATATTTCACATTATATAACGAGAAACGCCAATGATATATAAATATTTAATTATTATTAATAATAACCTTACATTTGGTATAGAAACTTTCACGTCAGCAATTTGTTTTGTGGCTGATCTTGCAATAGAAGGCCTTCTACCTCTCTGTGCCAACAAGCCCATTTTCGCATGGTGAAACCACATGAGGTAGGAAATAATAATAATAATCTCTGTAACAATAATAATCCTTGCATTTGATATAGCGCTTTATCACGTCTTCGAGACGTCTCAAAGTGCTTCACAGAATAAACTGTAAAGTGTAGTGATTGAATATTTTGTGGGCGATGATCCAACGGGGGCAGAATGGTCAACTAGGACATCCCTGAAAGAATGACAAGGAACCTTTCAGATTCTCCTTCATCAGACCACGGGAAAAAAAGACAGAAGAACATAATCCAGCAGAAACTACTGGGAACAATACATTCTCAGAAGATTTATCTGGAGTTCTAGTTTTTAATTAGAAGATAGGATAGGAATAAATACTTTTTTTTAGAAGCAAGAATAAAAAGTCAGAATGAAAACATTTAAAAAACTTAGAAAAATATTCAAAGAATATTCATAAACTACATTGATTTTGTTTTCCTTCTTTCAGGAGATGATAAATTCCCTCCATTTTACAGGAACCTGGCTCAGTCAGTAGCGTTCTCTCCTCTGAATTAGAAGGGTTTGGATTCAAGCCACACTGTGGGACCTTGAACCCATATAGTTAACGCTGACACCCTACTCCAGTGCAGTGCCAGCGAATCCCGCATTGTCAGAGGTGCAGTTTAGTTGAGACATTAAGCTGAGGTCCTGTTTGCTTGTTTAGGGGGTTGTTAATGATCCAATTGCACTATTTGAAAATAGAAGGGAGTGTTTCCCCAGGGTCCTGGCCAACAATTCCCCCAGATTAAAAAAAAATCACTTGTTCACTTCATGGCTGTTGGTGGGACATTGTTATGTGCATATAAATATAGTTGAGACATTTTGCAGAAACACGATGTGTGTAATATTTGGAGATTCTCAACCTGATAAGGTGGTACATCAGGTGCAAGGATAATTATTATTAATATTATTATTGCATTGTGACAAGTGCAGTTATTGTTGAAGTATTGAGAAAGTGCCCGTTTACCTTTAATTCCACTTGCATTCTCTCGTGCTCAGCAGCCACTTTCCTGGCCTCTTCCTCTGCTGCTGCTCTCATTTTTGCTTCTTTTTGTTTGACAGCATCTACACCCCGCTCTCCTCCCACCTTAAGTGAGCGGGAGAATCTCCTAGTTAGTTCCTTCTCCTTCACCCTCCTGTTAAACCAAGCAAACTTTTATTAAAAAGGAAACAAAAAACACGCTGTAAATCAGTTGGACATCTAGCCAATCAGGACATGACTAAACTTGCAGAGATTATAATGATGGGTATGTGATTTCCAGTGCTGTGCAGCAAAATAAAATCGAATGGCATTCAATTCAAATAATTCACTCAGTGACAGAAATGTCTCCCTAATGCTCTGGTCTTATTTCTGAACTTCACTCTTCTGGTGTTAGCTCTTATTCTACTCAGATGCTGCAGTTAATATAATGTAACAATAATAATCCTTGCATTTGACATAGCTCCTTGTCATGTCTTCGAGACGTCTCAAAGCGTTTCACAGCATACACTGTAAAGTGAATTGACTGTATATTTTGTGGGCAAAACACTAGTTTGCTGCATTAATTGGCCATTGATAAAGTGTCATTTGTCCACAGTGTGTTGAATAATATGACTATTGCTTTAAGATACAAGATTTCCTTCCTCCTGCAGCATTGTCTTTGTGTATAGCTCACTGCTGACATGTTGGTTTTGTACTCTCTCCCATTATCCTATACTGAAATGGGTTTCAAAATTTGATTTTAAATCCTTAGATAAAGCTTTTTATTCTATCTTGTCTCCAAACCATCTCTAGCATGACTCTCATGACAAACAAACTGAACCAATAGTAATAATAATAATCCTTACATTTGATATAGCTTCTTATGTCTGTGAGAAGTCTCAAAGCGTTTCACAGAATTTACTGTAAAGTGGTATACTGAATACTGAATATACAAGCAATCTGGGACGCTACCCTGCATGAGGGGCACTATATAATTGCAAGTTGTTGTTGCTGATTGTGTATTCTGTGGGCGAAACCCGGCAGCCAAATCCTACTAAAGTCATTTTTCACATCTAGTCACTAAAAATTTAGAATAAATTATTCTGTCATCTTTCACGACTAGATGAGTTAAAGGAATATGCAACATTACATACCTCAGTTCTCCTGCCTCTTTTTGAGCTTGTTGTCGTGCTCTTTCTGCAATAATCTCATCACAGATCTGTTCATACGGCTTGTCCCCAGGGCCTTCTCCCAATACCCAGACCCACACATTTTGATCTGCCGCCAACAGCCAGCCCACCGATTTGCCGATCTCTGCAAAGTAGATTGAAAAATAAGCGTTTGAACCCAACATTTTCTAATAGTTTTGATTCTGGCACTATTGTGGAGTACTGTAGCTCATTGGTTAGAGCACTCGCAAGCGAGAGGACCTGGGTTTCATTCCTGGCAGGGCGAATTGTTGGGCAAGATTCCTACTCCACACGCCTCTATTTACCCAGCAGTAAGTAGGAACCCGGTTGTTAGTCGATTGGCAGATCGCTTTTCCAGGGGTAATAATCCCTTCCAACAAAAATAATAATAATAATTTGTCACATAATCCACGACTGTTTGTGGGACGCTGCTGTAAACATTGGCTGCCGCGTTTCGCTCACAAAATATAGTCAATTCACTTTACAGTATATTCTTTGAAGCGCTTTGAGACACCTCGAAGATGTGATTTGTATTTTTTTATATTGTATATCAAATGCAAGGATTATTATTATTATTAAAAAAGAGATTTTCCTGGATTCTGGCCAACAATCCTCCAGATAAAATCGATCATTCAAATGTTTGTGATGCTGTCCTTCAGATGAGAAATTAAATCGAGGTCTCGTCTGCCTGTTCAGGTGGATGTTAAAGATCCTGTGACGAAAAGAAATGAGAGTTTCTCTCTCACGCTGTCCTGGCTAACAAATCGCCCAAATAAAATTAGTCACTCACTCCATGACTTTTTGGGACACTGCTGTGCGCAAATTGGCTGCTGCATTTCACCTACAAAATATACAGTCAATTCACTTTGCAGCATAATTTGTGAAGCTCTTTGAGACATCTCGAAGACAAGATAAGATGCTATATCAAATGCAAGGATTATTATTATTATGCCTATGTTTATACAATGACATCTTTAATTTTTTTTTAAAAAAAGGACATAAACAGATTTGAAACATGGGATCATCATTATTGATGACTTCATGGTGTTCATTTAGAAGTCTGTTGTTTAAACTGTGGGGTTTTCTAGCTTTACTCCAATAGCAAACAAAATCTTGAGTCTAATTTCCCTTCTCTATGCATCTTTTCCTGAAGGAAGTACAGTAATTTACACTGGGTTACTGTTCCACAGGTGTACGTTCTTTCCAGTACTCTGGCAAGTGTAATGGCAAAGGCCATTAGGTTCATTGCAAGGCCTGCAAACAATGAAAATGAATGCAGCCGTATCCCCACATGTATTTTCAGCATGGATTGCTGGATAGTAAACAGGAGCAGGAGTCCCAAATTTCCTTGCCTTCCTGCCCCGTGTCTCTGCAATATACACCATGTGCTGTATGTAACCCTGCAACAAATCATTAGCCCAGTAATCCGTCAAGTCCAATGTAGCATAATTTCACTTTGCACCTAAAATGCACTGGATTGGGCCAATGCTTTGTAAATTCTGTATCAATAAGAAATTGGCAGAGAGATATTTATAGATCTTTCTGTGCCAATCTCCCACTCGCTCTTCTTTAAATTTGATGCTTATTTTAACAAACTGCTAATAAAATTACTGATGGATCAACTCCCTCCGGCTTTTTGCTTTCAAAGGTTTCCCCCGCCCTCCATCCCGTGTGGTTTCTTTTTCCAAGGAAACACAATTTCCAATAAAAGAATTAGAAAATTTCCAGTCATTACACTTCCAACCTGCCAATTTATTTTTATCCTCAATGATGACTGAGACCCTGTAACTTGCCCCAGGGGGAACAAAACTTTCGTAAGACCCCCTCTTCAAAGTGATATGATGTCATCAAAACTCCACAATAAATCCCGACATTCACAGTTTTATACAAAGTTTGTAACAGCACAGAGAGCAAAACTAAAACTGGGATTGCTCTACAAAACCCAATAAAAATGTGCACGGCAGAGCACAAAGCAATACTGTACTTCCAATGGTGTGTTTTATAGCCTTATGGAAACAATAGAACATTGCAACAATCTGAACAGGTTTAGATTATAAAAATGAGCAAAGAGAAGTGTAGGCATTAGACATCGATCAGCACATTGGGCCAGTCAGGGGAGGTGGATGCCTTGTGGAGTGGCCCGTGCAAAGGTTCACTTTGAGACCCCTACATTTTACTAGATGACGATACTAAATGGTGGAGTCCTGTAGCTCACTGGTTAGAGCACTCGCCTCACAAATGAGAGGACCTGGGTTCAATTCCCGGCACGGCGAAATGTTGGCCAAGTTTCCTTACTCCACATGCCTCTGTTTACCAGCAGTAAGTATAAAAATGACTTCATCAGGTCAAAATTTGCAATCAATTAGAGGCATCACAAGAGGTGGCTGGAAATGGAAATGGTATTTCGTAGTGGTGCGATAGAAATGAATGCTATTCTCAGGTTGAGACTGACAAGGTGCTGAAAGACCTGGCTTTTCGCTGTACCTGAACTGGAATACCAAAGATTGTTGCAGAGAAAGATGCTGTAATACAAAAATACATTTCGCCCGTTCAAACAGTAAGTGCCAAAGTCCAAAGGTTAGCAACAACACCTTGAATTTATACTGTGCCCTTCACATGGGATCGCTCTCAAAATGAAGGGGATGAAAGGGGAGGTGACCGTCAAACATTTTCATCACCAACAACAACAAAATTACATTTGTACAGTGCCTTTCACATCGGGAGGACATCCCAAGGCGCTGGACAGTCAGTGTTTTGGACCCGAGCTGGGGATCGGGATCAAGGAGGGTGGAGGCCACCCTCCCCGACAATGATGGAGCCATGCGATGTTGCGGAGATGAGGTAAGGCAGAGTGGGTCATGGCAGAGATGCGGGGTAGAAAGGCGGAGGGGGAAGGAGGGTGATCGAAGGCACAGTTGAATAGGAGAGTTTTGAGATGGGTCTTGAAGGAGCCAATGGAGGGGGTGGTACTGCGGGGTGGAGTACCAGAGGGTGGGGGCATAGAGGCTGAAGGCCCGCCTATCAATGGTGGGGCGGGCGAGGTGAAGGACGTGAAGCAGGAGCCCACTGAGCGGAGGGAGCGGGCAGATTGGTAGGGGGTTAGGAGGTCACAGAGGTAGGGGGAGCAAGGCCATGGAGGGCTTTGAAGGTGAGGACCAGGATCTTGAACGGTATCGTCTGTGTGATGGGAAGGCAATGGATGAGGACAGAATGGTCAACGGTGTCGAAGGCAGCAGAGAGGTCAAAGAGGACAAGAAAGCAGAGGGAGCCCTTGTCGCAGATGGACAGAATATCATCTGTCACTTTGGCTAGCGCTGTTTCTGTGCTGTGGGTGACACGGAAACCCGACTGGAGGGGTTCGTGAAGGGAGTGGCGGGGAGGAAGGAGTGAAGGTGGGAAGCAACAATTTGTTCCAGAACCTTGAGGAGGAAAGGAAGGTTGGAGATGGGGCAGTAGTTTGAGAGCAGGAATGGTTCCAGGAAGAGTTTTCAAGTGCAATGTGAAGATAATAATAATTCTTGCATTTGATATAGCACCTTATCACGTCTTCAAGACGACTCCAAATGCTTCACAGAATATACTGTAAAAGTGAATTGATTGTAGATTTTGTGAGTGAAATGCAGCAGCCATTTATGCACAACAGTGTCCCACAAACAGTCAAGGATATTGTGACTAAATTATTTTTTTAAAAAGGAATTATTATCCCGGAAAAGCAATCTGCCAATCAACTAACAATTGGCTTCCTACTGCCCAACTTGCCCTGCTGGGAATCAAACCCAGGTCCTGTCTCTTGCGAGGCGAGTGTTCTAACCATTGAGCACTCCACTATAATGCAAAGAGGAATAATTTTCCCAAAACATTGTTATGATCCAAGGCAAATTATGAAAACAGATATCGTAGTTAAATTACGCTTATGCTTGTTAGCAAGTGTCAAGATGACATGCAGAATTACAATCTTGAGTATAAAAGATTTTTATTATAAAAGGTTTTTTATCTACATCTGGAGTAGTTCCTAACCAAAATCTGTGTCTATTTGTATTTTAAGTTACAGTAATCAAAAGATCTAAAGGATTACTTCTCACAAAGGTCTAGATAATTTTTGGTGGAGGTTGGTACTTCAAGATGTGGCAAAGTAAAATATGTCTTGTCAGTAGCAAATTTCATTATAAACAGCTTTCTATATCATTGTTGGCCAATGGAAATACTATAATTGGTTCAGATACATGTAATTATTATAACGTCTTTTTGGTTTTGGCATTTTGAACTGTGGATGTAGTTTTTTGTGCACTGGGATTCATTTACAAATGCATCACGTTTCAAACTGAAAATTTAATTATTGTTCATATACTGCAATGGCATTGAGTGTTCTTTGGTACAACAGCAGTTATAAGGAATGTGTGAACTTCATATTGCATGTTGAACCAGCCTGCCTTTTTGTGACCATTATTTGCCATCACAGTTGTGCAATTCTCAACTTGTGCTGTAGATATTGACTAGTAAATATATCTTGTTTCCCTCCCATATATGTTTGCAAAGTGCATCTAGTTTAATTTAGTAATTTATAACTTTAAAATTGCCACTTCATTAAAGTACAATGGAAGCTCACCCCACTAATGTGGGCAGTATTTGCAATCCTATTAATTGCAATATTGGGCAATAATTTAAACTCACTAGTTAGGTCAACATTTCTTTGAGCTTCCACTGTTTACAAAAGCATACTGAGTTGTCCTTTTCATGGTGAAGATGTGGTATTTTTGTCTTTCCCTCATCTACTTTGTTTTACTATGCATATCTGTTTTAGCCTGAAGGCAGAGCACTTGAAAACATTTCCTCAATAGCCTCTGGTATGATAGTGATTTTACATAACATATCAAAATATTTGCATTTGATATTTAAAGTCAGGGTGGGTATATTATTAGCACTTTGAGAAACAGGTAAATATCCAATAAATGATTGCAGTTATTTTGTGGAGTCCTGTAGTTCAGTGGTTAGAGCACTTGCCTTGCAAGCGAGAGACCTGAGTTCAATTCCAGGCAGGGCGAAACCTTGGGCAAGTTTCCTTACTCCACACACCTAATAATAATCCCTCCAAAAAACAATAATAAAAAATTGGTCATTTTCAAT